CAACATGCCATTGTGTGAGCTGCCTTGAGGGAGAATTGGAGGAATCCTGCGTCCTTGGGCTGCAGAAGCACAAGGGAGAGAAAACTAACTGGGAATGGAGCTCACATCTTTCTGTCACTGACCCTATATCAGAAGGTCAGAATCTTAACATTTATACTAGGAATATACTCTTGAGTACAAACTAATTCTTAATATTAATTCCACGCAGACCATCAAGAAAACGGAAAAGATAAAAAAGAGGAATAAATGCTATTTTTATGCTGAAGGCAGACCCTGGAGAAATGTTTTCCTTAGAATCTGGGGCTTTTGGGCCCTAGACAGGGGAGGTAAGGAGTTGGTTCTGCGTCAGCCTTCTCCAACTCAGCCCTTGTGGGGGGTGGGGGTGGAATTTAATTCTCAAGGAGGTCTTGGTCCCAAAAGGTTCCAAAGCACCAGGATGAAGAAGCTAATCTAGAAACAGAGCAATGAAGGGCAGAGCTTCAGCCCATGAGATCTACTCAGTTGGATTTCTTTTTAATATCTGTCTATTGAGCTCAACCACTTGGATCCTTGTGCGGGACAGGGAGTTAAGAGGCAGACCAACCTCTACTATTCTTCGTTTATACACTAGGTAGGACAAGTGGCTGTACAAATACTGTGTGCTAGTGCAAGCCAGGTTAACAGCTTGCACGTGGGAGGCCCAGAGAGCTGCCACCAGAATATTCCAATCTATCTTTTTCACCAGAGAAAACAAAAAAGGGAGATTTCAGAGCCAGCGATGGCAGTTGCATAGGGCTAGGTAATTTCCATCCAAACCCTTAAAGGAATGAAAATGTGAAATCAGCCTCCACATCCAAGAAGTGGAGGACAGCCAGTGTAATATTAATTTAAAAAGCATTTTGAAAGGGAGCCATAAAAAGGCCGATTCCACATTAATTAATTAACTGAAAGAATAATTAAAGCTAAGTGATGTCTGTCCAGCAGAGCTAATGCAGTTCTGTTGCTCTTCCAAACACCCCGTTGCCTCCTCCTCCTCCTCCTCCTCCTCTGCCTCTGGGCCCTTCTTGTCCAGGTCCCAGTGCAAACGCTCATTCCCAGAAAGCAAAGGCCATGACAGGGTGGGCACTTTTCACTGAGGGAGCAAGAAAGCGGGAGAACCCCCCCCCTTAGGGAGGCCGAGGGGCTGCTTCTGCCAGCTGGTGAGAGCAAAAAAAAAAAGCCGACTCTGGGAGGGCCTGGGAGAAGGTGGGCAGCAGGCAGCCCCGCTTCACGCTCTGTCCAACCAGCCAGCATTGCCCAGCCCAGTGGCCCAGAGCGCGGCCTCCCTGAGCCGGGGAGGGGGAACATGACGGAGGGGGGAGATGAGAGCCCAGCGTGCCTCTAGATCCGCTGCCGGAGCCCCGGTGTTTGGGAAGCCGCCTGGCTCCGCCTCTCAGGAGACACCGGAGAACTTTAAAAAGGGCGGGGTGTTTTGGACACGTTTTCGACAAGATCTGAGCCTACTTTGGTTTGAAAAGCCGCGACTTCCATTTCGTTATATAATTCTTAGCACAGGCAGTCCCCGACTTACAACCCTTGATTTAGTGGCCATCCAAAGTTACAACAGCACTGAAAAAAGTGCCTTATGACCCTTTTTCACTTACGACCGTTGCAGCGTCCCAATGGTCACGTGATCGAAATTCAGCTTCTTGGCAACCGGCTCATATTTATGATGGTCGCACAGTCTCAGGGTTATGTATTCGCCTTTTGCGACCTTCTGACAAGCAAAGTCAAGGGGGGGAGCTGGATTCGCTTAACGACCGTGTCCTTAACCAAACAATTGCAGTGACTCTCTTAATGACTGTGGTAAGAAAGCTCATAAAATGAGGCAAAACTCACTTAACAACTGTCTTTCTTGCTTAGCGATAGAAACGTTGGGGTCAGTTGTGGTGGTACTTCTTATTGCTAAAAAGCTGGAAATCCCCGATTCAGAGGTGGAGGGGAGAAGAGCTCCATCTGCCCCTCGGCACTGCCCCTCCCACAGGCACTGTCCATCCAGGAAGGGGGGCCTGGGGGCGCTCTGGGCAGAGACAAAGGTTGGCAGATCTAGTGGCCAAGGAAAGGCCATGCCAGAGGGAGGCTGGGCACCAAGAGCAGCGTCCGTTCATGGGGCTGCAGTTCTCCAGGTGCAGCCAGCACTGGGACAGCAGCCAGGCAGCACTGGACACCCACTCCCTGGGTCTTGCTGGCCCAGAAAGCATTAAGAGTTTGGCGTTCTTGCTAAAGCGCAATGCCAGCCACCAACCAGCCCTTGTCCCAGGCCAGTTTCTATTGCAGCAGTTCCCTCTCTGCTCCGCTGCTCACAGACACAAGCCGTTGACCTTTGTTGTACAAGGGGGTGCCAAGCAACGGTTCCATGGAGCTGACAATCTCCCCCATAACTAGCTGATGGGGGGTGCAGAATAAACATTGGATGTTTTTCTGGGGAAACTCTGACCTCGTTAGACCCACAGAACTCTGAGCAAAGACAATCCAACAAGTTTGGGAGGCATTTTCAGTTGCTGGTTGATGACCACAGAAAATGCACCATCGGGAGAGCCAGGCTGAGGGCACCAGGTATGCCTTGCCCTCTGATGCACTACAGCCCAGCCGAGCTCCTCCTGGGGTACCTGACAAACTCTACATCAAGTGCATGAACATCCATCTGTAAGGGGTGAGCAGCTTAAGCAGCTGCAATTTCAAGTATCCCATTTGAGGGAAGGAAACAAATCTGTCCAGCATCTTTTCAGACTGAAGGCACAGTATTCCTGTCAAAATACAGCGAAAGTTGACAGCAAAGCATCAGTTTTAATGACCTTCTTTGTTCAACAGAGTCTACGGAGCTGACTGCCACAGGAAGCTGTAGTCACCAGCTCAAGTAGGTTGAAAATGAGAGAATACTAACTGATTTTGGCCAGAATAACGGGATAGAGCCTTACAATTCAAGGGCATCACATGCAGGGAAATGTTGGTGAGGAAAGATTTCTTTTCCCACAACCTGCTTCCAATATGAGGGTTCCAATCATGTCACCTACCAAAGCTTAAAAGCCCTTCAGGATTGGCAGCTGTGCTGTAGCAGGGCAGGCTTCTGTTTTGATGTGAATGCTAGGCTTCAGTGGCCTCCTCGCAAGGCTCGCACTTGGAGAACCGCAACCCAGTGAATCCTCTTTGGGCCTGGAGCTGAGGAACCACTTTCTGGGATGGAAGCTGCCCCACCCTGGAACAGATCCCGATTCAGGAGCAAAGACTCTCTTCCAATGGCTCCAGCTCTTTGAGCGAGGGCCAGCGTGGGGTCATTAACCCAGCACTGGCCTGTCTGCCCAGCCAAGGCAGAAGGACACAGCCTGCAAGAGTCCCATCTATGCATTTCAACATCTTTCTGATCTAAAGAAATAAAGGCCTGGTCTACTCCACTGAGCAACACTCAGCTCTGACTCCAGATGATTTGGCCTGGAGGCCCAAGCAATCTGGAGCCTCTGGCTGCAAGAGAGGCGCTCTGAAGGCAGTAGGTAATCTCCAAGGAATGAGCCTGAAAAAGCTATTAGGAAATTAAAAGCAGAGCACAATGTTCCACCTCCTAGAGCAACTGCTGGGCTGTGTGTCCCCCATTCCACTGCTCAGCAGCCCTCTGAATCGATGGCCTAGCTCTGCACTGCCTCCCACCTAGTCAGCAAACGGTGCCACCTACCATCCTGGTGAGAAAAAGCCCTCCTGGGACAGCAGCTCCTTCAGTGCCTCAGTCGCTGCGCCTGTTGCTCTGGGGTCCCCAAGGAAATGCCCCTCCCCCTTGCTATGCACCCAGCCCAGCCTGAAAAAAGCAGACACAGTCCCGGCAAGCATCCTATTATTAACTTGACTGTCAATCGCTCCAGTGTCTCAAGGTTGTACAAGTCATCATCTGGGGTGGATTTCAGAGAAGACACATCAGCTAATTTCTGTAATAGCTCAGAATTGATTCCCTCATTGTCTCCAAGAAACAATAAAGCATCTTTCTCCTCCACCTGCTTCCTTATCTCTGGCTTCCAATATTTCCCACCAGGACCATTATGGTCTTCAAGCCCTCAGGAAGATCTGCTGATCCCTCACCTGTGCTGCAGAACAAAGGGGGTAGAGCGGTGTGGGGTGGGGTCTGTGCAAGAGAGAAAGATCAGTGGGAATGCAAGATGCCGAGCCAGGTACCAAAACTTTTTGCCCCTAGGCAGAATTCTCTTTTCTACATTTTACGCAATCCTTTAGGAAACAAGTGGTTCCAAGCTGAGCTCCGTCTCTACTCCAAATAGTCAAAAACTCGGGAGAAACTTTGGCTTTTTCAAGCTATAAAGATGGAAGGGCGTTTCCTGTAATCCGTGCAGTCATACCCCACATCTTAGCACACATCATGGCCAGTTTGAGTTAAGCCATTCAAAACCAACTTTGGAGGAAAGAGGAAAAATCTGAAATGGCAACACCTCTGCAGAACCAGCCTTTAGTGAACCTACTTTAGAAGAGTGGGTGTTGCCAGGTTAGGGTAGATTAACCTCTGGATTAACCATGGTTTAACAAATAAACCACAACTGGTTGGTTTCACATAATAGGTTAAGCCACAGGATTAGATTTACAAATCATAGAACCGACATTCAGACATTCAATCACCTGAGGCTCCACTCGCGCTGCCTCCATAAGAGACCCTGAAACGGGCCAGGGAGCAGAGCAGCAATTTCTTCCACAAATCTCCTGGCCTAGTTGACAATCTGGTGCCACCAGGACAGAAGTCAAGGCAACGCCACCGGGTAGACTGGGCACAGCAAAGCCGGTCAAGGCTTAAGATGAGGGGACCCCATAAGAAGGCAGATGCAACTCCGCTAGGCTGCTGGATGTCTTTCTGCCCTTTCCTCGTCCCACCCACGGAAAAGCCCCCTCCGTCTCGCCGGACTCCCGAACCAGTCAGACGCCGAGCCTAAGATCGGCAAGGTAGAAAACAAGGTGCTCACTCGGGAGAGCCAACCGGGAGGCGCCGTTCTTACCTTGGCCCTCATCTGGCCCGAGGTGGAGACTTTGCGGATGAGCCTGTGGGAGCCGCCCTCCTGCTCGCCTTCGCTGTCAGAGGACTCCTCGCCCGGGGCCAGCCGGTCCATCTCCAGCGAGACCACCGACTCGCGGCCCTTGCGCAGGAACAGTTCTCTCGGGGGGGCCAGTTTCTCGGCCATCCTCCGCTAGGGTAGACGCCGCGGTCCTCTGAAGGAGAAGCAGGGGCGGGCGTGAGCCACGGGGCCCTCCGGAACCGCTTCCTCTTTTGCACCTTCCAGCCGTAAACAGGGAGAGAAACTCAGCTCGCCCTCCCGAGCCCGGGGGCGCGCGCACTCTCCTCGCCCCCCCCCGGACCCCCTCTCCATCCACCTCCTTGAATGTCGCGCCCAGGGGCTGCGAGGCCAGGAAGCCGCCGCCGCTGCTTTTCCCTGAAGAGACTGCCCGGGGCTCGGCTCCCGCTCATCCCCTCCGGCAAACAGGTGGTTGGCGGGGCGGGGGCGGGGCCAGGTCAGCAGCCCGGCCCTGGCCCTTGCGTGCTCTACTGGGGCACAGCCGTCCGGCCCCGCTCTCCCGTGGCGGCCTCGACTTCGTAGCGGGCGACCTACCGCGTAGCAACGGCGGAAGGAAAACCGTTAGCCCGAGCCGAGGCAGCGTCCCCTTCTGCGTCTCCGCAGCGCCACGGGGAGCACGCGCGCCCGTTTCGCCCTCGTCACCAGGCGCAGTTCCCCGGAGCCTTCAAGCGGAGCGAGCGCTCCCGCCGCGGCAATTGCGCCGGATCCGCCACCGCCGCGGCACGTGTTGCTTCCTCTGCGCTTCGCGGTCGCCACAAGCTCTTGCTTCCTCCCGCCAGCCGACGCCGCAGTGCTCCCTGGTTCCGCCCGCCGCTGAGAAAACAACCCCTTTCCCCGCCCCTCTCCCATCCGAAGCAGTCAAACGCCTTTTAATCCGGATGAATAGACCCCGAAAAACTTCCTCCGCCCGGCCCCTGCGACGCCGCAACAGCCTCGGCAGCCGGCGGGGGGGGGAGCTTAGGAAACGACCCTTTTTTCCTCCTTAGGGAAAGGCCCAAAGACGCCTCCCCCCCCCCCCCTTGGCCGGCTAAAGAAAACAGGCAGATTCGAATCGCTCTCGCTTCGCTTTCAAGAGCGGCGGCGGCTGCAGGGACCCTGAGGTTGGCTGCGAGTCCACCTCGAGCAGCAATCCGAATCCAAACAAACGCCTGGCGGGAGGGGGGAGAACAAGAGATGGAGTCAGGGGACCGGCCCGCGGGAATCCCAGAGCGGCCTTCAACTAGTTGCTCGCGTTCCCACGAAACACTAAATCTTATGCTAAGCTCGTGGGCGGAGTCCGCAGACCGGGGAGACCAAAAGCAGGAAGCAAGTTTGTCCTTCGGGATTTTAGGCCGGGCCGACCTGCAGGCTCGCGTGCTGAGTTCACGGTTCAGGGGGCCATAATGAGAATCCAGGCAACGGGCTCAGCTAGGTAAAGCTGGTTTGCTAAGCCGGCAGGTGCTCGGATCGATTGCGTGGAAAGGGCGATCTTGCCGCCGCCTTCTGGCCCAAGATCGGGAAGAGCGAGGGCGCCTCCGTTCCCTTCCTCCAGGCCTCCTGGTCGTTCGGAGAGTTGGAGCCCCCTTTTCTTCTTGGCCCCAGTTCTACCTTCCCTTCCTCATTCACCTCCAGAGCAGCATCGACCAGGTGCATCTCCCATAATCTCCAGCTCTGGCAGGCTAGCCAGCGGAACTAGGGGCATTGTGGGAAACCAGCATGGGGTGGCAGCAGCAAGTAAGGGAACCCTCCTGAGGCCCCTCTAGAAGCCAAGCGGGGAGGGCAGTTAAGAACCCAGCCAAGGGAGGAGGAGGAGGCTGGGAGAGGTGGGCGACGGCCGAGGGGGACTTGACGTGTGCCACTCCAGCCAAGTGGGTCTGCCTGGCAAAGCCCCTCCAGGTGGCCTCTTGCCAGAGGCAGGCCCTGTGCAGTGAGGGGTTAGGAGCAGTCCCCAGAGCAGCTATGAGCAGTCAGGCAAGAGCTTGCCTGCCCCTGCTTCCCCTCAGCTGCCACTTGGCTTAATGCACCACAGGACCCAGGCAGAACCTTTCAACCGTGAAAGGCTGGCGTATCTGCCTCCCTCCCCCCAATTAAACCTCTTGCTGTGGTGATTGGCAAGGCAGCTCTGGGAGGCTGTGCCAGCCCAACTTCCTTTGGTGAAAGGGCAGGTGGCCTGGGCAAAGCTTGGTGGCCATGTCATATCCATCCAAGAACGGGGGTTCAAAATCTGTGCTTTGATGCACTTCTGACCTTGAATTCCACAGCTTCCACCATCCAGCCTTGCAACTGCTGCAATTAAACTCTCCACTCTGGCACTTTTCTTCACCTCTTCAGCCCCAAATGCACATGGCTGCTGCAGCCTGGCCCCACTCTCAGTCCTGCACACGGACGTCTGTCCACATTTCCCATGCTGTTGCCTCCCTCAGTTATCTGAAACCTCAAGAGAGGAGCCCATCATGCAAAGGACTTGATCCTGGAAATCTAGCCGGTTGCCCGGCCTGTGGTCAAAGGCCATCTGGCTGCTGAGTCTTGCCCAGAGCAAGCTAACCCTGCCAAACTGCCAGCTTCTTTCCCCTTAGAAGTGGGAGGCTATAGCCCCCTCCATCTCATTTGCTTTGTACAAATAAAAATCTTCCCTTTCAGAGCAGGCTGTAGTGGTTCTGATGCTCCCCCCTCCCCCCCCTGAACAGAAGCCACACAGTCAGGGACCCAGTTAGCACCAATTTAATACAACATGTGATTCTGCTTTCCCCCCCATTCCCATAATTGCACCCGCAACCAAGACACAAGCTGCTGGAGGTGGTGGTGTCAAAACACCTTTGGAAATACAACTGAAAAGATCTTGCTGTGGAAACGTTGGACAGGAACCATAGATTCTTTGGTGTGTAGGAAGCACAAAATTACAGTCAGCAACTCAAGCATTTAATCACATAGCAACATGCCTCCAGAGTTGGCACTTGGGTTCCACCTGCGCTGAGGAGGGGCTGCTTGGGCAGAGCAGCTGCTCAGAGCAAGCCAGGCAGGGAGAGGGGCAGGAATGGGCAGGGAACAACCCTGTTCCTACAAATAAGTACAGGGAGCTGCAGGTGGGAGACATGGAAGGGGAGGAAGGGGAAGCTGGTAATCGCCAAGGTCCTAGGTTGCACAGAGCTCCTTCCCACTCAATGCAGAGTCCTGTGTTGGACAGCCAGAAGCTGGGCCCGGAGAGTCACCAGGCAACCTGGCCTCCTCTTTTTGGTGCACATAAATGTGCCACGCTTTTACAGCCAACTCTGCACAAAAGGCTTTGGTCTCAAGCAAGCCGGAAATGGGGGGGGGGAGCAGGCAGTAGGAGGTCAGGTTGGAAGACACAGGGCGAATTTCCAAGATTTGCCTGGGAAAAGCAGAAAGAGGCTGTCCTCCTGACTCCTGCTTCCAAAACAGCAGACTCGCCCCCACTCTCAGGGCACTTCCAGGACCAGCAGAGGCTAAAGCAGAAACAGAAGGCAACTGCCAAGTGGTTCATTGGTGATTATGGGCTGTCATATCTGAGTACTTTTCCAGAAGGGTACCAACAGGCAGGCGTTCAAGTCCCTTAAGCCCAGATCTTTCCAAAAGAATAAAGGCCGGCTCAGCCCTTCAGAGGAAGGATCACAAGTCCCTCCTTAGAAGCCCAAGGTGGGAAGCAGTCCAAGGCCGAGTGGCCTGGGCCACTGGATTTAGCTTGGCCACCCTTGACCTCCTGGAGCATTTAGGAGCTGCATCCCAGCTCCAGAGAGCACCAGGTTGAAAAGCTGGTCTGGAAAAACTGGATCTCCCTCTTTGAGGGTTAAAGAGGGACAAACTATCTTCCTTCCCTGCTTGTCAGGAGCCCAGACAGTGGAATTTTCATTTCTCTTGAGGCCCAGAATGCTAAGGCAGCATGGCCCAAGTCTTATTCTCCTTCCTCGAAGGGAGAATGTACAGCCATGAGTTCCAGGCAGCCCAGCACTGAAGAGGTTAAGCCAAGCAGACTTAGCTTCCTGCACTGGGCCAAGGACAATGGAGAGGAAGAGGATGTTAGGGTCACAATAGCCGTGGCAGGATCCCAACACATTCCTCTGCTGTGGATACAGGAGAGGTAGAAAGAGAAGCCCTTGTTATTCAGTCCCGGTTCCTCCCCCCCCCCCACCAAAATGTTCTTGCCAGGGCATTGCAGCTTTAGGCCGTGCCAGGAAGATAGAAGGGAGACTCTCTCCCAGGGCAGGGCTATCTGGCCAAGGCTGAGGGAAAAAGCTGGTGACTGGGGCTGGATTGCCCGTTGATCCCGTGGATAAATTAAGGTAGCCAGCTCATAGCTCATGAAAAAGGCAGGCTCAGGTATATGCCTGCTGTCACTCCACCATCGCTGGCTTAAGGGTCTGACCACACCCCACTGCAAAGCCAGGCTTCCCCAGGCCTGATCCTCACACGACCCTGGCGCTGCAGGAAATGTCTCCCATGCTATCTCCCTGGCACAGTTTTGCTGCTGAATGGCAGCCACCTGAGCCCACTCAGGCCTGGCTGCAGGAGGAAGGCAAGGTGAGGCACATGAGATTGTCTGCTGCTGCTGGTGACCTCATGCCGGTCCCTTCCACGGGAAGACTGAAGCAGCAGCTCCAGGGCTTAGTTGGGGATTCTGGCAGGATGCAACGAAGATGCGATGCCACTGGCAGGGCTTCGTGGGCCAAGGAAGGACTCTGCGGGGAAGCCGCTGCGGACCTGGGCTCTGAAACAGCCCGTCCAGCCACCCGGCCCTTGCCTGACCCACATCCAGGTTTCACTTGGAAACAAACTTTAACATAGCAATAGCAGAAAATAAATAACATGGACCAGTAGAAAAGGCACCTTTGAGGCTTGTAGGCACTTAAGGTGAGGAACGGGTCCCACAGTTGAGTTTGGAACGTCTCCCTCCAAGTATTGCGCGAGGGAAACTTCTTTGTCCATGCTAGGCTGTGTGATCCCTGGAAGGGATGGGGCCAGCCGGGTAGTTTGGGGAGGCTGCGAGGACCCTGCTGCCTCTTCATTCCAGTGACTCAGGATTCCCACAGCCATCTTGAGCAGCAGCCGGGACAACTGATCCTAACTGCAGGTGGGCACATCTTTGTGGCAAAGGGCACATGGGTGACCCCGTCTTCCTTGGCCACAGAGAGGAGGAACAGACAGGCTCTTTGGCAAAAGGCACCATCTCTTTCCGGAGGACAGAAGATTGCAGAGGTCCTGCAGTTTGCATCCAGCCCTCCTCCCAGCCAGTCGGGTCCTGGCTCCTCTAGTGCTCCCTGGGCCTCAGAGCCAGGCTCTCCCAGAGACAATGCAGCTGCTCCTCACCCAGCTTGATCTTATCGTCCAGCTGCCGCTGCTGGATCGCCAAGGCAGACTTCATGCGCACAAAGTGCTGATAGTCTTGCAACTGCTCGGAGGGCAAGCAGCGTGAGATGCTGGCAAAGACGAGCTGCTCCCGCTGAGCCACATGCTCCTGCAGCTCCTTGGCATCCTCCAGCTGTGCTGTCAGCTGTCGCTTCTTCGCCAGGAGGGCCATCTTTGGTCAGAGGATGGGCAGGGGAGAGGAGAAGGAAAGAGAGCTGGTCAGTGTTGGCCACACCTGGGACCTCTTTGGGTAAAGAGCCCCATGCTGGCGGCAGAGCCCCGTGCTGGATCCAAGAAGCAGCACTAGTGTTCTCACCAGGGGAGACAAGGGGGCAAACTGGCCGCACCACAAACTCCTGGCCTTAGAGGTGCCAGGACAGGCACTGCAAAGGCCCCGGGGAAGCAGTGCTGTGCAACATAGAATCATCAGCAGTTGGGCTGGGTACCCTTTGATGAACAGGAAGCCCAGCACTGTGGGATTGTATGGCTGTTTCTAAAGGAAGAGTGGCATAAGGACTCACTTAGCCTTTGAGAGTGCAGCACCCCCCTGCAGTCTGCAGGAAAGGAGTAAGCCATTACTTGGGCCGGTGGTATCCTAGCATACATAGCCAGAGTCACAACATGGAGCAACGGGGGACTCGGGGCACCTTAGCTGCAGGGAAGTTCTGCTCTGCCAGGGCGGGCAAGCCACCCTCTGCTGTACCACGAGCACCCTGCCCAGCAGCCTGCCCTCCCTACCCCATTCAGTGCCCACCTTCTCCTCCTCCTCCTCTGCATTCAGGCCAATGAGGGTGTTCTCCACTCGGGCCAGCCTTCCAGACAGCGAGAGCAGCAGGTTGACCACTTTGTCCAGGTCGCCTATGGCGAGGCGGAACTTCTCAAATTCATGGGGCTTGCAGGCCCCCTTGATGTAATTCTCTACCTCTCTGCCAAGGGCCGTATTGGCACTCAGGTCATCCTGCAGACTCTGCTGGGCCTCCTGCAGCACCACCAGCTTCCGTCCAATGCTCTCGATCAGCTGCACCTGGTTGGTGTTTTCAAGGGGGATACAGTCCCAATTAAAGGCTAGCCGGCTGTCAGCCCTGCTGGGACTTTGCAGATGGTCCTCCAAGACTACCAGCTCCAGGGATCCATCTGGAGCCGAGGGCCCCCCTATTCAATGCCCTGCAACTTTGTTAGCATTAAGCTGGCTGCTCAGGCCCCGGACTCCCTGGCTCAGCGATCTGCAGGTGGCAGCAATTGGCTGGGGGGGGGGGAGAGAAAGCTCACCTTCTTCTGAGCCAGGTCCTCTTCTGAAGAGGCTGCAGCCAACTCGGATGGCTCCTTCGTTTTGTTCAGCAACTCGGCTGTGCCCGCTGACAGATTGAGGTAAGTCAAGTAGGAGGGGGGGGCTCCCCCAGACTCAGGAGAACTCTGCTGCCTATACAAAAGAACGCATTGTGGGATACAGGTTGGGGGGAGAGAAGAGGCTGGTCTTACATCAGCGGGGGTGGGGAGACAACATCCCTGTAAGGAAACAGAGGCTCCAACAGCCCAGTTGCATCTGCCTGTCCAATTCCTCTTCCTCTCTCATTGCTTCAAGGCAGCAATATCCCTGGTTGCTCCCCCCCCCGCCCAGTTTTCTGATCCCAGCGATCTGTGAGGAGATTATTGGCCCAGGATCACCCAGGGGACGAGTGGCGAAAGAACAGGGCTCCGGACTCAGCTCTCCCCAAGCTAGGGGTCAGGCTGGCTCTCCTGTGGCTTGCTCCTCTTGCTCCACATGTGACTCCTCCCAGTCTGCAAAGCCCAAAGGTGCCCACCTTTCAGGGCAGCTGGGACCACTGCCTGGTGGTAACCAGTCTTGCCTTGGCCAGAGAGGGCAGCTGCTTGCAGCAAAGAGGTCACCCATCACCTCGGCTGCTGACCGGAGTCCGAAACCGGAGCTCAGCACTCCAGCCAGGGAGCGGTCCTTGCCCGCCACATCTCTCATCAGTTCCTCCGAACTCAGGCGCAAGGGGGGAGGCCCTGATTTGTGACTCTCTCCTGCAGCATCCTGGGACACAGGCACACCTGAGGGCATAGAAGGTGTAAGCCAGTAGCGCTGCCCTCCACAGGAACCCTCTGCCACCCCCAAAGGGAACAGACTCACGCCAGATGTGGGGCTGCTCTGAGGGGCTGCCGGCTGATGTCTCCTGCTCCCCGACCAGGGGATGCGCCTCAGTGGCTGCCCCCTCCAAGGAACTGGCTGCCCTGTAAGCACAAAACCAACCCGTCTCTTTTTACGGCCAGGCTGTTCCCTTCGAAGGCAGAGCTGGACGGTAACTGATTTCTACAGGGGGCTTTTGCGCTCTTCTCTGCCCTAAAAGGGAGATGGGAGACAGGGAGAGCCTTCTCATTGGCACAGCTGCCACAGCCCCCCTTTATTGCCCTCCCTGTGGCTCAAGTGGGCAAGGCAGACACTGGTGCCTGTACAGAAGGGCTCCACCAATGTCTCTCAGGGACACCCCTCCCAATCCTCCACCCATCTGGAAACTGAGACAGCTGAAACCAACAGAAGGCCGGCCACTTGCCTGGATGGGGCACTCCAGTCACTCGCCTCAGTCATCAGCCACTCCAGGCTCCGGGATGGCGACCCATGGCAGTAGTAGTGGGAGTTGTCTTGCTTCGGGGTGGAAGGGGTGCTATCGGGTCCTGCACAGGGCAGCCGCGGGCACTGCAGTTGCGGCCTGTGGTGCCACAACTGCTCCGCAGGGAGGCTCTGAGAACGCTGCCTGGCTGCTTCGAAGCCAGGCTGGCCCGGGGCCCAGGAGTCCCGTGCATGCACGGGCAGGCAGGCTTGGGCAGGGAGAAGGTGCTGGTGTGAAGCCCGGGCTGGGCGGTACTTCTCCCAGTTGGGTGGAGGCGGGCGTGGAGGCGGGGGCCCCCTTCTTCTGGCTTGGCATGGTGGTGACTTTGGTGATGTCTCCTCTGCCTTGGCCAACAGGGCTTCTTGCCACTCCCTCACAGAGACACCAGCAGGCTCAGTGCAGAGGTGGCTCTCCGAATAGGCCCTTTCACGCAAGAGGGGTTTGTGAGCCTCGCTGGGCCCCCCTTCCAAACCCCTCTTCTCTGTGACCCGCCTTGGCTGCTCGCAGTCCCAGGAGAGATCATGCGTGGATGAGGCCCGGCATAAAGGAGGCCCAGCCGGATCGGTGCGCTCAAAGCAGGTCCAGTAAGGGCTGATCCTAGCGAAGGCCACCTTGTGCTGCAGAAGCTGACTGGAGAAAAGAGGAGGGGGCTGCAGACATGACTGGGGGGGGGGGAAATCTACCTTCTCCTGCCCTCAGTAGGTGGGGGCTGCTCAAGACCCTTGCTCCAAGGAGGGAACAAGGGTCCTTTGGCTGTTGGGGTCAACTAATTCTGGCCAAGAAGAGTCATTTTACTTAGCCAGAGAGATGCAGATTAACGGCAGCCAACCTGGCTGCTTCCTCAGTGCTACAGGTTGGCCTCCCCCACAAGGGGCAGCTGCTCCTCAAAGGCACCAGCACGCCAAGCCTGTGCATATGAATGCTGGCATCGGAAGGCCCAACAGGGGAGGCCAGCCATGATGACCAGCTCCAAATCCTCTCTCGGAGATGCGCCCTGTCTGCTGTCTAGGTCACCCATTTCTGAGCCTTCGTAGGGGGGTGGGGGAAGCAGGCACAGATTAATGTCTTCTCTCGCTGCTAATGAGAGGCTCTCAGAGACACACACCCCCCAGCAAACAGCAGGCAGCCCAGAAATGTCCAACCCCATTTCTATTCTGCCTGGCAAACGCTTACCTCACAGTGTGGCTGCTTGCTCTGTTCACAGCGGAGGGCTCCCATTCGTCTAAAGGGAATTCCTGGGAGGGGCGAGGGGAGAGTGAGGCAAAGGGATGGAAGAGGCCACGGAGCCCCTTGACCTGGGCAAAGGGGAGGAGGCTGGGCAGTCAGTGAAAGCCCATCCCAGCAGCTGAGTTTTTCTTCCCCCATCCCCAGCTGGTGTGGAGGAAGGATTTGAAAATCCGACTTACCATTTGAAAACGCTTCCTTGCTTGCCAGGGATCTCCATCCTCCAGGAGCTTCTGCTGACCTGGGCAACAGCACTCACTGTGGCAGCTCCAGGAACAGGGATGACAACGGTGGGCATGGTGGCTGGGTGGCACTGGAATGTTCTTTGAATGCAGCATGGCGCACTCATCCCGAAAGCTGTAGGCGCAGGATTCTCGGATAGCGCATGAGCAAGGAAGAGCCCACCAACGCTCAGTGTCCATACCGGATCGAGCCAGGGACTTGCATGGCCCCAGAATCTCTGGCTGAAAATCCTGGTACTTGGGGGGCGAAGATGGGCAACGGTAGGACTGATCAAGAGAGTGGCACAGGAAGTCCCCGTGCTCAGTGCTTCCTGACTTCTCTGCCTCGGGGGTCCGTGTGCCGTCAAGCCTGCCCTGAAGGGAACCGTAGGGCCTGGTGGGCAGCAGGCGGCTCGTCTCCTCAAAGAACTTCCGCCGGTCAGCAAAAGGCCAAAGGCCAGGTTCCTCCGAAGGTGGCTGTGAGGAAGGCCCTGGCTCTGATTCCTGAGGCTGGAGCTTGTGCTGCGGGGACCACCGCCAGCGGCCGCCTCCCCCTCCTCCCGCACAGGTCAGTGGCAGAGGCTTCTCCTTGGGCACCAGGTCCCCAGACAGCCTTCGGGGGCTGCATGGGGCTTTCTCCTCCCCGAACACACTTAGCTCAGGGCCCCACCGCTTGGGGGCCACAGCTGGCAGCCCAGAGGAGCCACGGAATCTGCCCTCCCCTAAGGCAGGAGTCGCAGTGTGGCTGGGGGGCTCCTCTGGGGGGGGCTCCTCTTCGCATCTTAGCCCCCCGGAACCTTTGGCCTTCTGCAGTTGGGCTTTGCGCCATTGGATCTCATTCCGCAGGTTGGTGGCAAAGCGGTCACTGCGCCGGCGGATTTGCGCAGAGCGATGCTGGGCCTTCTGGGCAGTCGGGAGGCTCCTTTGAGTGTCTGGCAAACCATCAATGTGGGGGGCTGCCTGGAATCGTGGCTGAGGGGTGCTGGCATTGCCCAATGCCGGCAGTGGCGGGGAACCACTCAGGGCCGTGAGGGCTGTACAAGTGCCCTGTGGGAAAGGTGACCCCTCCTCTGCAGTTGGGGGGCAATCTGGCTCTTCTGCTGGCGCCCAGGGGTTCTGGCCACACTGGTCTAGATTTAGCCATGGCTCTGGAGCCTGCATGCCCTTCTGCTCCTTGTGCAGGGGGGACACTGTCCAGTGGGGACCCTCCTGGCCACGGGAGACATCCAAGGCCTGCAACTGGGCAACCAGCATGTGTTCTGGGATGCTGTGGCGATGGCGGAAGGGCCCGGCCCAGCCAGCCTTCCAGGAAGAAGGGGGCTCTGCATGGTTGTTGGCCTCCCCCGTGCGCTCCTTCTCTTCAGGGGGGTCTGCTACAGGGCAGCTGGGGCTCTCAGCCAAAGAGGAGGGGGTGGTTTGTGGGCCCTTCTTCATCATCCCGGAGTGCGATTCTGTGTGTGAGCTCAGCAGGTAGTACTGGTCAGTAACTGGAGAGTCCTTCAGGGGGCCTGTGGTGGCCAACTGCCCATGGGGATCTCTGCCAGGTGTGCAGAGGGCTGTGTCCGAGCTCCACCGATCCTCAGGACACAAAGAACCTGTGTGGCTGGGGGCTCTTGGGTCTTCCAGCGGGGAATTACACGCACGCAGACTGTCCTGTCTCATAGGCGGCTGGGGAGGGACAGCAGCCGCTTTGGCAGGGCTGGGAAGAGAGCCTGACTGGACGCTGGAGGGCAACCGGACGCCAGAAGCTGGGGAGGGCAGGCCTGCCGGCTCCCCCCCCGTCTGCAGGTATCGAGGCTCTGGCAGCTGACCGGGCTGGGTGCCATCCACGGAGCCGGCCTCCTCAGGTCGCAGCGCAGAGTCAGAAGTGCTGGAACTGGCCGAGAAGGAGCTGTAGGCAGAGTCCCGCTTGCTTTGGTACATGGCCTGGTCAATGGGGAACAGGCTGCCCTCATAGTAGGTCTGGCTGGTCGGGTCCAGACTTTCCATGCTCCCAAGGGAGCCGTTCTTTTCTGTGGTGCAGTGGGGAGAGAGAGGGTTCCACGGCAAAGGCAGGTCACTGGGGGCAGGAAGAAAGGGGAGGCCCCCATGTCACAGGGGCAGGGAAGCCCTGCCTGGCTCCCCAATGCCTTTTGGCCCACGGCTGCTTGCTTGATGGTGCAACAGCAGCCCTTCACACTGGCTCTCCCCACCAGGCCCCCACAGACTGTCGCTTGACTTTCCTCAACCCTCTGTCCACCACCTCAGGGCCGACAACTCCTTTTGCTCCCTGCCTGGATGTGGGAGGGAAACGTCCCACCATCTACTGGGACTCAGGCCAAGAAGGGCAACCCGAGGTGCCACCAAGGGCCCAGCCCTTCCTGCCTGCAAACAAAGAGCCTGCCTGCCACTGAGGAGCAGCATCATGGGCACATCAAATCCAGAGCAGCCCTTCCTGTCCAGCCACTGCCAGGCTGAAGCTCTCATTGGAGAGCAAAAGCCAACCATGGGGGGGGGGGACTGTGGGTTCTGTACCGCAAAGACCCAGCCCGATCCCAATCCAGGGGACGCTGAGTAGGAGCAGCTCCTCCAAAAGAGAAGTGCTGTCCGGATTCGCACACGGCTCTTCTGGCTCACATGGGTCCTGCCTGCCATGCCACATCCTGCAACTCAGAGAGTGGGCAGCTCCTCTAAGCTGCGTGGCAAAGGAGCTGAAGCCACTGCTCCTTTGAAGGAGAATACTGTAGCTCAGGGTTGAAGTGAGGGATCCTTGGTGACGTTACCTAGCTTGGGTGATGAAATGTCTACCAGAAAACAACCAGGCTCCAAGACCTCCTTTGCTTGCTGGCAGCCTGCATGATTCTGCCCCCCTCCCGACGGGACAAAACGCAGTCAAGTCCTCCCAGAGAAATGGTGCCCAGCACTGCATTCCAGGCTCAGGAGCACTCAGGATGGGCAGAAGGGTGCCCAGACCAGCCGGAGAGGGGGCGCTGGGGCTGCTCCCCAAGCCCTGCAGGAAAGCCAGGCAGGGAACGGCCGGCAAGCAAAGAGGCCTTTGGAGCCGTGTGCTCACAACTGGGACCCTTCCTGTCCTCCCAGCCTGGGCCACAAAAGGCAGGGGGGGCAACAGAGGCTGGTTGTCGCCAGGGTCAGCTGTGGTGGGCTGCGCTCTTTCAGCCCACGATGCCAAAACCCTGAGGGGAAAGCCAGCTGTGCCCCTGGAGAAGAAAGGCAACCTTGCCCTCTGCTGATGGAGGGGACCCGCAGGAGTCAAGTAGCTGCCCCCCATTTCCCCCCAAGCCCCCTTGCCCTTTTTTCCTCTGGCGCTCACCTTGTCTCGCAGTCCAAGTGCCAGGAGAGACTCAGGGGGTCAGCAGGAAAAGTCATGGTGCCCTCTGTCTGGTCTTTGGAGAGCTTGGCCAGATGCCATGAGTGGGGCCGGATGAAGGGCACGTTCCTCCTTTCAGGCAAAGCAAAAGGAAAGTGAGGGGCAGGAAGCTGGCATGCCTGGTGGGCACAACACCTGCTATGTGAAACCAGCTGCCCCCTGCCCTGTGCCCAAGTGTGCCCCTCACCGCCTCCCAAGCCTCTCTTTGGCTCATTGCTGCTCCCCCAGGGCAGTCTGAGCCTTTTCCTTCCTGGTTCCCGGCCCCACTCAGCTGGATGGCTGCCCCCATCCCTGAAAGACAAGCTGTGCTCTGGAGAGGAGGAGGGGGACACCAGGAGAGGCAAGCCAGAGACAGTGACCCATATCTGCCTCCCCCCCCCCCAGTTCCTGCCAGCCCAGCCCAGCCCAGCCCAGCCCAGCAGAATGCCATTAACAAAAGCCACTTGGGGACCTCTGGCTAGAAGTGAATGCTCAGTTGGAAACTTCCGGGCTCGTTGTCGGTTGGTGCTACCGAAGCTGAGCCCCTCCGGCAAGGCAAGAGCAGCCGGTGGGTCAGGACAGAGCAGAGACAGAGGGCAGGACAGGGAGGACAAGGGTAAGGAGGCACTGCAGCCAGAGCCCTGCCTGCCCCAAACGGACTAACAGTGCCATGAACCCAGCAGCTCCTGGACAAGAACCCACAGAAAGGCATCGGCAGGAGCCACGTGCACCTGCCTCTCCACCCAGAGGCCGAGCCCCAGGCCCTGTGGGAGGACCTAGGCTTTTCATTGCCATCACCCCAGCCAAGTTAGCTCCCTCACCCCCCAAAAAACCCCCAAAGCCATGCACAATCAGACATGGAAAGGAGAGCCCCCTCCCCCCGCAGGTTCAATACACACCTATCCTGGCCAACTCTTAGTGAGGTCTGGTAAGACAGCTATGCCCAGGCTCCAGGCCGGCCCAGCCCAACCAGCCACCGCAGGCAACAGAGTGGGACTGGAAGCGGCCAGCCCAGCAGGGAGGACTTCCTGCCCCTCCAGGCTCCTGGAGCCAGTTCCCATCCTCATCTCCTCCCAGCCAGGAAGCGGTGAGGAAGTGATGTCCAGGGAGATAATTTTGCTGGCAGCGGCAATATCAGTAGCTGAGACCCCAGGGAAGGGGCTTCCTGCCTCTTGGAGCAGCCCCTCCCCTCAAGGTGGCGGCGGGGGGGGGGGAAGGAAGTGTCCCTCCCTCAGGGCTGCAATCCTCTGAGCCACCTGCCTCCTAGGGGAGAAATGGGTGGACCGGGATCTCCAGGATGGGGAGGGCCAAGCCTCTTGCCTTGCCTGGCGGGGGGGGAGAGGGGGAATTCCAGAATGCCTCTTGCTGAAAGCAGGGCTTCCAGCTGAGCTTCAGGACTGCCCCCTCTCCCTCCCTCGCTCCCCCCACAGGAAGTGGCTGGGACAAAGTGCAGGAAGGATGAGGTCATTGCTAGCTCAGTTTGGGGGCAAAGAAGAAGCAGGAGCTGAGATGGAGTAGAGATGCTATGGGGCCAAAGGCAAGCACAACCCGAGCCCCACTGCAAAGGGCTCTTCTGTTTCTGGAGAGCTGTGAACTCCACAAATAGCAGCCGGAGAGGTGCCAAAAGATTCCCCCACCCATGCTCCACTCCAGGCCCATTATTCTGGTGCTCCCTCCATAATACTCAGGCCAGAACCATCAAGTTTTCTGGGTCTCTGCCCCAAAAAAGAAAAATAAAACTTTTTCAACGTACCCGACTCCAGAACCCCAAACCGATTCAGATCTACAAGAGTGGGGATCTACTGGAGCAGCCAAGAGCTTTGCCGCAGTCCCCCCAGCCCACTTCCACAGCCAGCCCCACTCCTCCAAGGGGGGGGCTGTATAGGAGCCACCTGGCCCTCTGCCTGGTGTAGCCCAAAGAGCATCTGATTAGGACACCTGAAACCCCAGAAGGTCATCTCAGTTTGTCCTCCTTCCAGGACAACCCCTGGACCCCGAGTGACCAGGCCTCTCCAGGGGCAGGCAGACTGGCAGCCCCTGCGCTCTGGCTGCTATTGGCCTTGGGAGAAGGGAGGGATCACCGCAGGTATCTCCAGTGTGGGGTTCTGGAGCCTTTCAGTATCTCAAGATTTGCACCAGGGAGAATGGGGAAAGCAGTGGTTTCAGAGGAAGGTTCAAGTGGACCAATGATGCTTTTAGGGACGTGGTCAGAAAATTTCAGTTTTCTGGCAGCAGCTCCAGAAGGACACAGACCAAAAGCGCCACTCGTTGGTGGCTCTGGCGGCAAAGGCCAGGAGAGGGAGGAAGCCTCCACGGTTGTCAGCTTCACTGCTGACCGAGCCAGTTCTTGGGCAATTCCCCAAAGGGCCTCAGACAGGCTTTACTGACCTGGAACTGATCCGTCCATGTAGACAAATCCCAGACTAATAAAGAAAGCATGTATTTGTCTGGGCTAGTTTCTGTTTCTTAAAGAGACCCCGCACTCTGCAGGCAGATTTTCCTGCCAATAGCATCGTCCCAGGCGATGGAACGTTTTCTGCATTTCAGAGACATTCAGTTCTTACTAGTTGCAACACTGAAAACTAGACCTCCTGAAGGACTGGCCTGCTTTGGAGGCAGGAGAGGAACAGAGGAGGAATCAAACAGAGTTCTTTAAAAAAAAGCCAATCTCTACTCAAGGCACAAGGGGTTTCACACCGCTTTTGCCAACTACAAATTGGTGTGCAATCTCAAATTCCTGCCACAGGAGGGCAGCTGCAGCCAGCCTCAAGGAGCTCAGGCACATGTCCATGCATCCCCCCCGTCCCCCCTCCAAACCGGAAATCTGGCAGGAGCAGCGCCTTGCTGACTGGACTGCAGCCCATCCGCCTCTTTTGCTGTGGCCAGAACAGAGTCCCCCAGCCCCAGAGGAAAGCTATGCATCACCTGCAACCTCTTACTCAGGAAAAACTCTTCCCGGACAGGAGACGCTCTCTCTCCCTCCCTCCCTCTCTCTCCCCCCCCCTCACCTCCGGATGATCATCTTGAGCGTGCGGTAGGAGCCCTTGATCAGGATGAGCGCTTCCTGCCGGGAGCCATAGAGCGGAGTGCCGTTGATGTTCACCAGCTCATCGCCAGAGCGCATCTTCTGTGAGAGGGCCGCCTTCCCCCCATCTTCCACCTGGAGGGGTAGAGCCAAGGTGTGAAGGGTCACCTGAAAGCCACTGCAGGACAACGGCCAGGCCAAGGGACCAGCTTGTATGCCCATCTGGGCAACTCACAGCAACAACATATAAGAAACAATAAGTGATTTTAATCAGCTGCCACTGTACAATAGACAAGATTGCTGCGATCCCCTCATGCAGGGGAGAAGGGTCTCCCCCACTCACCAAATGAGATCCATCATAGAACCACCAGTTGGGGGATCTTCTCAAGGACTCCTGCAGAATCAGCCCCCATAAAGAGTGGTTCAAGAGTCAGCGCTGTTGCAGGCACTGGCTTGCACCCTGTGCTCGGAGACCAGGCCCAAGCTGAGAGAGAGGAGGGCAGCCCTTCACTGCCAGTCACACGCTCAGCAGGGAGAAGGCAGGGACTCCTCGTGGTCTGGCTGAACTAGAGCCAGTTGTGCTGGCCCCAGGACACGGAGAGCCCACAAGGCCTGGGCATGCGGCTGTGAAAGAGCCACACCCAGCAGCTGAGAAGAAGGGAAGAGTCAGAGTTAATCTTCTCCAGCAGGAAGACCTGGTCCAGCTTCTCACGGAGACCTTGTGCCAGCTTCAGGCACAGGGGCTGGTCAGTCTCAGAGATGGGTCACAGGAAGGGGTCTTCGAGGGGTTCCACATTGCAGCCTTCTTCCTCGGGTGATCTGTCCTGTGCTCCTGGCCACCGAGGAGCCCAGGAGAAGGAGAGAAGGCAGGTCCGTTCTGCAGTTGGAATCCTGCAGTGAGCCGTGAGGGGCAGGCCCCACTGAACTTGGATGTTTGGAGGTGGAAGCAGTAGCAAGCCAGCTCGCCAGAAGGAAGCTGAGAGAGGCAAGGCCAGCCTTGAGTGCGTAGGGAGAAGAGAGTTTGCTGGCTGGCTGCTAATTATTGCACAAAGCAATCCTTGTTCCTGCTCACGATTTTGCCAGACAGAAAAGAAGGGTCACTATTCCCTGGCCTGGAATCAGACCTAGTGGGAGCATTCTTTGCCCCTGGGGGGGGCAAGCGAGTCCTGACTCCTCCAAGACCCATACCCCAGACTGTTCAGCCCTCTGGGGCTGGCTGCCTGGAAAAACCTTCGAGCCATGCCTCTCGACTAGGGGACAGAGCGCCCAACTGAGACAAAGATCCCCACGCTGGAACAAGATCCCTGCATTGTAGCCCAGGCGTTTCAAAGGAGCGGCCATAAACACACCAGCGCACAGCATAAGTGCCGGTGGATTCAGCCCATCTGCGCAGAGCAGCCTCAGTAGGCGGGCACAGAGAGTGGACGAGAGCGTGGAGAGGAAGCAGGTTTTGTAGGTGCTGCTCCCCAGGCAGAAAAGTTCTTGGCCTGCCCCACCATCTTCATCCCCCACTGCTGAGGGCCTAAGCAGGATCCTCTCTGGAAAGGCAGAGCCCTTCCCAGGAGGGCTGGGGGTAGCTGGGGGCTCAGGAGAGGCACTTTTTGTGCAGTGGCAAAAGGGACCCTGGCAGAGGGCTCCCCCCGTCCCTGAAAACTTCCCCAGAGTCTCCCAGCCAAGGGGAGCCACACAGCTGCCTGTCGGGAGCTCCATCCCTGCCGGCACACAAGGGCAGTTAATCATTCATTCGCTGCCTTGGGGCTGTTACTGGTCAGCACCGGGCTTTGGGGCTCCCTCCGGGAGAGGCTTAGCATGTGGCTGGCAATGGGAGCGGCTCAGCCTCTTTTCCTTGGGGACACAAATCAGTCCTTGCATCCAGCACCAAATACATGAGCCCAGGAGGGACGACCCTGGTCAATTCAGGGTAGTCCCTGTGGTCCAGGACTGCCTAGATCAGTGGTTCTTAACCTTTTTAATGCCACGACCCCCAACCAGTCGTAAGTCGAGGACTACTCAACTGGTGCAGCACCGTTTGCAGAATGGGACTTTTGGTGGGCTCAGCAGGGCAGAGACAGCCTGGACAATTCCTATTGGCTATTCAAGAGAGTCTATTCTATTGGCTTTTGAAAGCCAATAGAATAAAAGGGAGTAGCACAGCTAAGGAAAAGGGGGGAAAAGATGGCGGACTGCGTTGTTTGGCGACCCCCGTGAAATGGTCGTTCGACCCCAAATGGGGTCCCGACCCACAGGTTGAGAACCACTGGCCTAGATTAATCAAGAATCCTATCACGGGAGGAACCTTAGAGATTATCCAGTCTGACCCTTAGCTCAGTGCAATAGACTGCAGCATCCACACCAGATGGTCACCAACCTAACGGAAGAGAGTTCAGCACCTGTCCCACTGCAGAAGAGCTCCAACCATTAGGAATTCTTCCCAGAAGACAACTAGTCCATCTGCCCCTCTTCTTTTCCCCAGCCTACACATTGGCCACGTGCTTGCCCCATCCCCTCCCCATCTTCCTTCAGCCTTTCATCCCCTTCTCTGGATTCCTGCTGATCTATCAGTGCCTTTCCTAAAATGTGGGATCCAGGAGCAGCTGCATTATTCCAGGTGTGAACAACGGTCTCTCTCTTCTTCACATTGTACAGGCTAACCTTTGCTCAGTGCAGCTCAGGAGCACCTTTCCTCTTGGGGAGCTGCATTAGACTTTGGCACGGAGGCCCAGCTGTGAGGTCCTGATCCCCTCTGCATTCCCTGCAGCCCGAGGAAGCCCCTCCTCTCCCCGCCCCTTTCACACCTTTGATTTTTGCCTACCTAAAAGCAGACCTGGCATTTTTCTCTGCTGAAATTCATCCTGTGGACATTCTATTTCAATCCCATATTTTAAGGCTCCTGCAGTTCCTGCTTTTTCGGCATCATCCACACTGCCAATAATTGTATTTCTAGCACAGTCTCCAAGCCAGGGTCAACAGCAAAAGCCTCGATCCACAGAGCTCCCAGGACCTTCCAGTCAATAATCGGGGCTGCCTGCTCTGGGGCAGGAAGAAGAGCTGCCAGATCTTCAGCTCCCCCCTTTTCTGTAGCTTCACCTTAGCAGGCTGCCAAAGCCCCTGAAGGCCCCATAAGCTGGCTATCAACAGGGAGGGCCCACAAGGCAGGCCCACCCTTCTTTGGAGTTCTGCTGGGGAAGATTCTGGGAGAAGATCCCAGTTCAGGGGCCACAGCAGAAGCCATCAAGCCGGCTGGGTCCGGCTCAGGGCAGTTCCCTCCCCTGAGCCCACAGAGGATCCTCCGGGAATTCCCGCTGGGGGGCGGGGTTGAACCCCGGGATGGCAAGAGCAGCTTGTCCTGCCCAGCCCCCCCCCCCGCGCTGCCTCCCCGGATTGGGCTGGCGCCGGGGGCCCCGCGGCCACTCCGCCCTAAGGTGGGTCCGGGAGGCACCAGCCCCACGAGGCCTCGGTGGGCGACCGGCTTTTCTCCGCGCCCAGCCGAGCCTCCTTGCCGTCCTTGAGGAGGGAAGCGACCCGGGCATCCCTCCCCTTAGGAGAGCCGCCGGGCCGGACTCCGCCGCCGACTCCTGCTCCGCCCGCTGGCGACCCGAGGTCATCTCCGCTGTGGCCCCCTCAGCAACTTGCGAACCGCGGGAAGGGAGGGGGGAAGTCGGCAGAGTCCTTCTCATTCGCCGTGGAGCGCGGGGGTCTCCTCGGAGCCGCGGAGCGTCGCCGTGGCCCAGAAGCGGCGTGAAGTTGTGCCGGAGCCCAGCCGGGCCGCCGCCCTCCGCGACTCGCGCCGGACCAGCCTGACGCGGAGGAGGCGGGAGGGAGCGAGGCGGGCCGCCGAGGGGAGGACGAGCAACGCCCAGCCGGCGAGGGGGAGAGGCGCCTGGGCGGGAAGGCGGACTCGAGGCGGCCAGACAAAGAGCCGCGGCTGGCTCTGGACCTCCCGGCGCACGAAACCGCGCAGCCCGCGCTCTCCGGGGAGACTGCGCCCCAGACTCACCTTGGAGACGATGAGGGGCTCGCCGTGCTCCAGCCCGCCCCGCAGGGTGAAGCCCCAGGGCGCGCCGCCGGCCAGCTGCACGTGCAAGTACTGGAAGGAGACCAGCAGTCGTCCCGGCAGCTTGGCCTGCGGTGACGGGTCGGGCTGGAGTTGGCCTGGCGGCCGTTCCATGGCACCATTCCCTATCCCGGGCGTGACCCGCGGCGGCGCTCGGCATAGACGGGACGCGGCGCGACGCTAAGCTCTGCCTGCTGGAGGGCGGACCGGCAGGAGCCCCCTGTGGGCGTGTCGTGGGCAAGCTGAGGCGCCCGGCCGGCCCGGCCCGGATCCTGCAACGCCCCCAGCAGCGGAGCCGCTCCGCCTCCTCCGCCGGGCTGCTTTGGCGCGCGGACTCTTGGGCCGGCCGGGGGCTGATCCCGTTCCGGGCGCTGCCGAGGGCGAGGAAGTTACCCCGGCCCAGTTTAAACGAGCTCGCCTCCCTGCACGCCGAAGATGTGGAGGCGGGAGCCCTTAGGACAGGAACCGAGGAGCAGGCTTGGAGATGAAGCTAGGTCCGCTGGGCTGATCCCGCCCCCGCCCACTAACTAGGGCTTTTTCAGTGGCCTGGAGGCCGAAGGGGGAAGGTGGCCCTCCGGGATCCAGGGTGAGTGGCATTCTGCCTGCTTCAAGTGCACCTACCTGCAAGGGTAACCCTGGTGGGAAGTAGATTGATTTGCTGGTGAAGCAGAGCTGAGCGCTAAAAACTTTTTGCCACCCTGCCTTCCCCTCAGGGGCACCGCTGCCAACTTTCTTTCAGCAGGAGTCACACTGGGGCATCCCCAGAATGCTCCTTTGTTCCCCAACTGTTCCAGAGGAGGTGCCACCCTTGGCTCTGTGAACACCACAGCCCTGGCCCTTGGTGGGCTGGGAATGTCTCCAGATTTGTGTGGAGGAGGAGAAAATGTGCTGTCAATTTCAAAGTCTCCTTGTGCCCTTCAGTGCAAGTGGGCCTGGGGCTGTGTGGAGCGGGAGTGGGGGGAGGCAGAATGCTGGGCAGCCCTTTAGGGCCACAAGGCAGAGGCAGCAGCTGCCCTCCTGCAACCTTGGGCAGTGCCCAGACTGGCTCCATCTCTCTGTCCTGGAGTTGCTTCCTACAAGCACTAGGCACTTTTTGGGCATCCATGTGTGTACAACCGCAACACGCATGCTTGAGGAGCTGCCAAGAAGTAGCAGGAAATGGGGGGGTTAGGAGCCTCCAAGGGTGGCAAGCATCATATGGAATTGCCACAAGAGGTACTGGTGCTGCATTATATTAGAAGGGGGTTACGCAGACACGGGAGGGGTGTGTGCGAGACAGAGACATTGGTCCAAGGGCCCCCTGTCATTAGCATTGTGATATTCAGCCTATGGCACCCCAATGTTCCTTGATGAAGAAGTGGGTCTGGCAACATGGAACGCTGCTGTCCAGAGTAGTCTCCATCAGGCTCTGGTGAAGAATTCCTGGTTTCCCAAAGGCTGAACGTGGAAGGGTTAGTCCTTCTCTTGCAAGACTATGCTGAGACCCACAGCACTCCTGCCATCCCCTCCTAGAATGGGGAGAGACTGATCTTTGCACCACACCTCCCTCCACAAAAGGCTCTTGACCATTAAATGGGGAACAGCAGTTCTTTGCAAAGAGGGAGTCTCGGGGACAGTTGTCCTTAGTTGCCCTCTGAGGGTGATTTGAAGTATATGTGAATGCCTGCCTATTTATTTGGGCGGGGGGGGGGCAAACCAAGTGAGCAGGGGACCAATTGCTGGGGGGGCTCTGCAAGCCGATCTCATCCCCCTTCTCGCTGCCTTCCTGTGCCCAGAGACCTCCCCATGCTTTGCCCAAGGCCAGGGAAACTGCTGAGCCTAAAGTTGCCCTCTTTCTCCCCTGCAGGCTGTTTTGGCTTCCTCTTCCCAAGGATGAGAAAGCCCTTTATCCAGAATGTCCAGGGATGGGGGGGAGAGAATCCATCAGCTGGGGGTGCAAGGCAGCAGGCAGGGAAGTGTGCAGGGAGAGCCAGGCCGCCATTTGGGGGCCATAACATGGCTTGCTTTGGCTCGTGTGAGCAGAGCCCTTATAGTTGGCTCTCTCTCAGAGCTAGTCTAGCCTGCTTTCAGGAGAGCTGCAGGATTGCCCCATGAGAGCCCTGCCCGGCAGAGGACCCTTCCTCAGGCTGGCTGCTCTTTTGGAGAGCTCATCCTGGGCATCGGGTGGCCTGGGGAAGGTCAGCCTGAGCCGAGGGCCATGGTCAAAAACTCAGGGGACTGAGGGAAGAAATCTTGCCAAAACCAGTAATTTTGCCAGGTTCTGCTATGATCCATTTGGGCTGATCTTTAGGGTTCCCAAAGACTTTGCGGGCTGCAACTATTGAGTGTTTCTCAGCTGATCTATGGAGAACCCTGGAGTGGACATCTGCAATGTTTTTCAAGCATGTAATTGATTTCGTGCCTACATAAAAGGCATAAAGTATGTCTTTATATACATAAGAGGATTAGACACATACTTGAGAGCAAGTTCCTGGATTGTTTGTGCTGGGAAGGAGCTTGGCTGAGCACCAAAAATTCTCCCTCCTTGCAGAACCCATTGGCAAATTGGCAAGGACGTGCCTTATGTTAAAAAACAGGAAGTTTACAAAATGACTGGAAAGCCCAGAACACTGGACTTTGGAGTCCCTCTGGCATCCAGAGATTCAGCAGTGGGGAAGAAATCACCTGCTGCTGCCCCAGCAGGTCTGATGAGCTGCTTCTGGCTGCCGAATCCCCTTGGCTGCCCTCATCTGCCGGGGTGCCTCCGCTCCCCCCGCCGAGTCCTTTCTCTGAGCAGCCCTCGCCCAAGTGTCTTTGCTGCTTTGACCCAGGGCTCTTCAGAGCCTCCCCAGGGCTACGCCGTAGTCAAGGCGATTACTTCCCAGGTGAATCCTGGCTGGACCTCGACTCTTGGAGACCCTTTGGAAACAAAGCTGGTGCCCCAGAAGCAGCAATGGTCCTGCCCAGACTCCTGGGGAGCCTCAGGCTCGACCTCCAGTAGCCCAAGGATCAGCTTAGGGGCCTCTGCTGCATTTGGCAGCCTCAGGCGGGAGGAGAGGCACTTGGAGAAAGAGGGGAGCAAGCCTTGCTACCCCTGAAAGAAGCCAGTTCTGGGCTGCTGGGGAAGACTAATTCCCAAGCTCTGGACCCAGTCAGGAACGGAGGCTCTCCAATTGCTGGCTCAGCCTGCTCCCCCCCCCGCGGATTTTGGGTCCGGCCCAAAGGCGGAAAGACATTCCCTGCCCAGGAATGCAATGCTGGTGCCAGGGGTGGAGGTGGGCGGGAGGGGCCGTGCCACTGGAGCCGGGTGGGGGGCAGCTCCAGTCTGCCTTGCAGGGTCAACAGAGAGGAGAGGAGAGACGGTGGGCCCCAAAGGCCCTGAAATGGGGCATCGATCCCTTCTGCCAATGCTTTTACCCTAGTAAGTCCTCCCCTCCCGCGGTGTTTATTCTGCCCTGCTGTTATGTTTCTTGCTCAAGGATTTTTGATTATAACTTTGAAGGATACAAAGGCCTAAATAAATAACAAATTATCATTGTCAATAGTTTGTACAGGATAGTTTTTAAATCACCTTGTAGAAGCTGGAAACAAGTCATGGAAGGGCGCCACTTCACTCAGGTTTATATACACAAAACACAAAAGTGCCACGTTCACCAAGCCAGTAGAAATACTTTGCACAAAATGATAAAAGCTGAACTTTTTCAGCATCGTGTTTGGGGGATCAAAGTGTGCTTAGCTGTAGTTGCAGAAGGCAGAAAGGATGGAGAGGAAGAGGCGGGTTAACACAAAATCATTTTTCCTGTTTTTCCAATAACCTAAGATATAGAAGCCTGGGAGACTGGCCGCATGTAAGAAAGGCAGAGATTCCCCGCAGTTGAGCCTGCATGCAAGTCCAGGCCGTTTTCCTGCATCTGCTGATTCCCGTGAGGCCTTCAGAGTTGTTGACCTCAACTGTAGTTGAGCTGTGCAAGACAGGATTGTGCCCCATGAACAGAGAGCAAGCACCAGCAAAGGAAGCCCATTCTTTTGTGGGTCAAACGTACCGAAGGCATTGCTTTGAGCTGATCGGATGTCATCACAAATGTCCGCCACAAGGGGGAGCAGGAAACAGTTCAAGCAACACGGTGCTTTCCAGATGTGCCTGGACTCCAAATCCCAGAGTTCCCGGTGGGCGTGGCCAAGAGCTTTTATGCAAAAGCAGCTGAACATAACTTCGCATTCCTGGTCTGGTCATGAGGCGAGAGTAAAGATGCTGTGCGGCCCCTAAGATAAGCAACCATCCAGCAAGGCCTGCCTTTCCAAAGACGACTCTGACGTAGGACGGCCGCGGTAGCGGCTTCCGTGGCCACAACGCCCTGCATTTTTCTCCAAAGGAAATGCCTTCTCTAAAGGAGCGGGCCGAGCCCCGGGCGCCTCGCCCACCTGGCTCCCTCCAACCTGCAAGCAGAAGCCCCCGGCCCTTTAAGGTGGAGCGAGGCCCGCCTTTAAACGGAGCCGGCGGCGTGCTGTTTCTTACCCAACAGCACGGGGGGTGGGGGCGCGTCTGGCAGCCGGAACCGGCGCTTCCCGGCCTGCTGCGAGTCTCCGGGTGGAGGGAGCTGCCCCGGGCCTGGTGCAGCTCTCTGGGCCCGTGAAGCCGCTCCGGCTCCCCCGCCCCCTGGCCTGGCTGTGACTGCTCGGGGAACCTAACATGGGCCTGGGGAGGTGAGGCTCACCCGCATCCCTGCTTTTCCCCCGGGAGACGATGCTCCCGTTGGGCTCCCCGGCTCCTGCCTTGTGACCCCGGAGCCCAGCGCCGCCGGAGGGCAACCATGGGGGTGTTGAGGCCGTGGAGCGCTTCTCTCCTCCTGGCCCTGCTGTTCCCCCTGGCGCTACCTTTGGAAGGCGGAAGGGAGGCGCTAGATTCAGAGGCGCCGACCGCCTTCGCCGCCTCCGGAGCCTCTTCCCTGCCGCTGATCCAAATGCTCCTGAGCCAGGCGCCCCCCAGATCCTGGCTCCTCAGTCGGAGCCGGAGGCGAGTCAACGGGCAGCCCCTGCGCTACATGCGGAACCTCTACCGGAGCGTGGCGGACCGGCATGGCCGCCCCCGCAGGGACGGGCGCCTCTCCAGCAACACGATCCGCCTGGTCCGACCGTCGGCCAAGGCCCGCCAGACGGAGGCAGGTGAGCTGGGGCCGGGACTCCCTCCGGGGCTGCCGGAACTGGGGTTCAGCGCCTGCTCGACGTTGCTGACCTGTCAAAGGGTGTGGCAGCCGGCAGGTCCTGGCCGAGGCCAGAGGGCCGCGTGCTGCCTTTCAGCTCTCTCTGGAGCAGGCAACTGGCCAGAGGAGCCCCAGCCGGGAGCTCCTCTGGACGGGGTGGAACGGCTGCCCAGACAGCAAGGAAGTTGGTAGCCTGCAGCTCAGACTGCCAGTTTCTGGCCCGGATTACCCGGCTCTGCTGAATTGACTCTAAACGGGAAGCTTTCCTTGAGCCAGGCATTCCATGTACTTCTTTTGCATGTGCGGCAGGAGCCGCACGTCTTGCACAGCACAGTGACAGGATATTTTGGAATGGGGCACTTTTACGGAGTCCTTATTCCAAAAGCTCTGCCTCCCCCAGGCTGAGCGCTGCCAGGCCCTTCAGAATTGGGGGGGAGAGGGGGGCTTTGCTCACAGGTCCTGGGGAGAAAGCAGCTTTTCCCATTTATTGTGAATGCCTCAAAAGTGGCATGCAGCCCACCCCAACTGGGGAGATGGACTGACGGCATCACTGAAGAAGAGGCAGGAGCTCTTCTTTAGGAAGGTTGGGGCCCCTGTGGGGCCTAAGGATGGCTCTTGGGCCATGCAGCATCTCCTGCTCCCCTTCTGACCCCTTCTTTGTACCAGCAGACCCCTGGTTCATCTGGGCCCTTGAGTACCGCCTGGAAGTGCAAGCGCCAGCCCAGCACCTGATCAGAGCTGTTGCTGTCTACGTTCAACGTCCATCCTCACCTCGCGGCCCCCTCTGGTGCACAGTCAGCCCGCTCCCTGGTGGAAGCGCCCTGCCGCAGGTGGCAGTCAGCCCGACTCTGCTGAAGAATGCCACCGCCACGTTGGCTGCAGACAGCTGGGTGGAGCTGGACCTCTCCTGGCAGCTCCAGCCATGGTCCTGGGCTGCCCAGAATAGCCACCTGCTCCGCCTGCATCATGCCTGCTCCTTCCTGGAGCGGGCCTGGAGCTCTCCCCGTGGGCCTGGTGGGGGGCACCCCCCCTCCCTGGAGGATCCCTTCTTGCTGCTTTACCTCAAGGACACTTGGAGACCCTTCAGGGCTTCTGTGGGTGGGGAGCTCCCCCAGAGCTCTGCCCGTATCCGCAGGGTGCGCCGGGCTGAGAAACTGAACCTGGACCTGCCCCGCTATGGCCGCCGCCGCCACCCCAGGGCCAGGCCGAATGAGTGCGCCCTCCACCCCCTCCGTGTGACCTTTCGCCAGCTGGGCTGGGACCACTGGATCATCGCCCCCCACTCGTACCGGCCTCAGTACTGCAAGGGAACCTGCCCGCGGGTCCTGCGCTACGGCTACAACTCTCCCAACCATGCCATCGTCCAGAACCTGATCAACGAGTTTGTGGACCCAAACATGCCTCGCCCTTCCTGCGTTCCCCACGAGTACAACTCCATGGGCGTCCTCATGATTGAGCAGAATAACAATATCCTGTTCAAGGTGTATGAGGACATGATCGCCAAGTCCTGCACCTGCCGATGAGCAGCCTCGTCTCTGGCAATGAGCTCTGTGGGCTGCCTCCTTCCCTGGGCCTCAGTTCGCTCCCACCCACTGCCTCACAGAGAGAATCCAGATTTTAAGGCATTTGGCAACTTTTCACTTGGATCCAAGACCCTCCTTTCCCAGGGTCACAGAGGACTAGCACCTTGGTTGGGCTGTTTTATGAAAGGATTTTTATGCACAGATTGGCAAATTCTCCTCCTTTTTACCAGAAAAAGTATGCAGGTACTCCTGGAATGATTTCACCCTGCCAGAACGTGATAGGGAACAGTTGAAGGAAGTATAGCTGGCATGGCCACGCTGAGGCAGGAAGGGCCCCTCCGGTTCCCCTCACCAGCGCTTGTCTCACGGCCTGCCTGCGCATCTTGATGCTGGGGGTCACTGCCCCTTTTGGCCCAGCAGGGTGGCTGTGTCCTGCAGTCCAGCCTGCAAAAAATGGATGTGCAGGAGCAGCAGCCACAGGTTTCTCCCTTCCATCCAGAGGCCCTCTTCCCCCCCCCCCCCGCCAGTGTCCCCTCCCCCAGCAAGAGCTGTGTGGTCTCTGGATTACTCAAAACCCGCTTTTCTGTTCCTGCTGCTTGAGGGGCGCTGCTCTATGGCCAGTGCTTTGCTCTGCTGCTACTACCTCCCATTCTGCAAATAAAGGCACCCTCACACCCATCTGCAACCCTGGGAGATGTCAAGCACTGAATTCTTTGGGGAGGGGAGAGCCCCCTGGAGGTGCTCTGCTTCCTGAGAAGGCTGTTCTGGAAGCAAAGGAGAGGGAGCTTGTCTTTTAAACCAAGGGAGAAGAGTGTTTAGGAGTGGTTGGGGGCTTATGCATCCTGCCCTGCCCAGGAGAGATGGCTGGTGGGGGCTTAGTTGGCTGGGCCTTCCCTGGGAGCTGTCCCCTCGTGTCCTAGGCTTGGTGGAGTCTTGGGCGGGAGGGAGCTCCTGACTTGGTTTTGACCTTGTCATGCACTGGACAATGGAGCAGGCCTCCCCCTCCCCTGGCCCTCCCTGTGCTTCTGCGGCCTGTCCATGGTTGTCTTTCTCTTCACCCTTATTTGTTTGCACCTGTTGCCTACCTGGCCTGAAAAAACTGCCATAACTTGGGAAAACTTTCTATTTATTAAATGGTGTATTTAATGAAATTATGCAATAAATCTAGTTTCTGTTTTGCTAAAGATGAATGCAGTCTCTGATTTGGGGAAGAAGGAAAAACTGGACAAGGGAAGGGGGAGGAGCCCAGACTGGCCCATCTTACCCACAATTTGGCTCCCACACAATTGTCACATCTGCAGAACAGAATCAGCCATTCTCCAACTCGTGGCTGTGGGTATTTCTCTGCGGCCACCCAGGTAGCCCGAGCACTTGCCACCAGCTACTGTTCCTCTCTTCCTAATAGGGCTGATCTGGAGCACCACAGGGCAAAGCAGGATTCAGTGTAAAAGGGTAACAACACAGCCTGCCCAGCATGTTTCAAACTGGCAGCTGGGTGCAATTGGGGAGAAATTCCAAGTCCCCAAGACTGGCAGTCTACTTTGCAGTCCCAGCTGGAATGGGCATGATGGATAACCTCGGAGGAGTTCAGGCCTCTCAGTGGTTCTCTTGGTCTTTGCTTCCCCACAGCGCCAGGCTGCTCTATGGCTGCAGAATGTGAGCCATTCACTATTTCCCCCATTAAGCACATAATGGTTTATGACAGAAGGAAGATGAAGGCTGAAATGTTCTTGTACTAAAGCACAGACTATCAGCAAAAACATTTGAGGAACATGTTGCCTATCAATTTTTCAGATGGCACAAATTGGAGAAAACCCTAACACTTTAGTGTCAGAAATAAATTTCAAAACAATGTTACAGAGATGGGCTAAAAACGAGAGAAATCATTGCAAAGCTTTTCAGGTAAGAAAAGAAAGATACCCATAGGGTAAGGATACCTGTCTTAGTAAAACTACTTGTGAAAAAAGTGGAATAGTGGTAGATTATGAACATATCATGTAGTTACAAAACAACAACTTCTCCACCACCCCTCCAAAGCAGGGGTCTTCAAACTTGGCCTTTTTATGACTTGTGGACTTCAACTCCCACTGACTCGGAAGGGTTTTTCTTGTCGGGAAAACAACAGGCAGATGTGGCATCGGAGGGGTAGGAGGGCTTGCTGTGTCATAGGAGGGGAACTGAGATCCAGTGGCTCTTCCTCCTCCTGCCTCATACCCAGCTTATGACATCAGTGGAGCATTGATGAGTCCAATTTTGCCATTGCTATATTCCAGGGTTAATTGGCTCACGTTGCACAAGAATGGCAGGGTTTTGAAAATGGACACTGCCAAAAAGTTCATTAGCCCCACATTTAATCTCTCTGAGCTCTGAAGTGGAAATAAATACCAATATCACAAATTGCCTCTCCAATGACCTCATGTGGACCCCAGTGTGACCTAAAACACGTGGGAAAGGGAACAGGAAGAAATGGCTCCGAAGTTGAAAACCCATCCTGTCCCGACTCCTAGCTTTCTGCCAAGAAACTGGCGTCCTCTCAGTTCAGCTAAACTCCTCGCCTAGAGGTAACCTGCTGACCATCCCGCTCTTAATCTCTGGCCTCGCCTCCCTCCGTCGCCTTTAAAGTTCGCCAGCCGTGAAAGAGGGGAAGATCGTCGCCAATCAACTCGGAACCTAAACAAGTTCCAATCGCCTTTGCGAGGAAAGGTGCAGGTCCCGCCCTCAGCAGCAGGCGGCGCGCTCCTCCTCCCCGCCGGCCCGCAAGAAGTAAACTTCCGAAAGAGCACTGGAAACGGCGGCAGGTCCTGGCAGGGCGCTAGTCTTCGCGGTCCCGCAGCAGGCCGCCCCACAAGCCACTGGAAGCAGATCTTCGCGGCACCAGCGGCTCCTCTTTGTACTCTTTTGGCGAGGGGCCGTCTTCCTTCGCCCCAAAAGCGAGTGGGAACGCGAAATCTGCTGGCTACGGGGCTTCCAGGACTGCCCGAGAGAGGCAGTTAACCCTTTCTCCGCTGTGTGTGTGTGTGGGGGGGGGCTTCCAGCTGGTGACCCGTCCCCCTCACTCCAGCAGGTGCTAGGAAGGAGGAGGGGGCGCAGCTGCTGCCGGCCGGCAGTGGGGCGGGAACTGGGCGGGGCAGGCCGTGCCGGGCGAGCAGCAGAGCTCTGGGCTCCGGAGAGGCAGCCTCGGCGGGGTCAAGGAGCGCAGCCATGCGGAGCAGGAGCAACTCTGGGGTGCGGCTGGATGGCTACGCTCGTTTGGTGCAACAGACCATCCTCGGGCACCAGGTGAGCCCTCGGTGGCAGTGAGCGAGCGGGCAGACCTCGCCGGGCCCCTCCGGCAGCCAGCCTCCCCTCCCCGGCTGCCTCACGGCGTTTCGCCCTCTGCCAGCCGGACTTTTCAGCTCCATGGGGGTGAGGGGTTCCCGGCCTCCAAAGCGCTGCGTGGAGACGCTCCCACAGCGAGCCCAAAGTTGCTCTATGCTGCTCAGACGGGCTCCGTGGACTGGGCCGATGGGAACTGGAATTCCGCACAACCACAGAAGGCTCACGTGGCTTCTAGACACAGGGCACAGAGGTGGCAACCGTTGTCCGGGACCCTCTTCTCTCTCATGGAGCAGATCCAGACCTCCTGAAGAATGTACATGGGAGCTGTACCTGGGAGCACCTGTCCTTGACTCTCCCTCCCCCCCCAATGCGTCCTGCAAAGCGACCCCCTGCACATACTTTCGTTTGCTAGCTTAAGGTGCTACCGGAAACTGAAGGAGTGGTTGCAGGGATTATGAAGGCAGGCCTGGTTCCCAGAAGCATCTGCCCCCATAGACTTTACCGCCCCTGTGTGCCTCCAGGACAGGCGGGGAGGGGCTGTAGAGGGGAAAGAAGCACTTTTTCAGCAGTGGCCTCTCCTCTCAGAACAGCCCTTGTGAGACCAGTAGAGTCTGCCAGGACTCTACTGGTCTCTACTCCGTTTGGCCTTTTGCCAAGGGTTTTGCTTCTTACAGCCAGGTTTTCATTGTGCCATAGTTGGATGATGTTAAGTGCCAGGTGATTATGTCTCTACATTAATCTGTTGCAGAGTCTGAGGTAAGGATACCCATTGGGGAGGGGTCTCTTCAGGCCTCCTTTCCCAGAGGAGGAAGAGGGTCCAGAGACTCTTCTCATCTCATGAATGGGCAGGACTGAAGCAGTGCCAGGCTTCCCTGCTCCCCAAATTGCAAGGGAAGGGAGGCTGGCAGAGCAAGCCCAGAAGTGATGCCCTAAGGCTGTTGCCAGCCAGGAGAGGTGTACATTCAGACACTGGGGCAGCAGATGGCAAAGCTCACTGGGGAGAAGGAAGGAAGCCAACAAGGATCCCGGCTGAGTGTTTTCAGCAGCCATCACTGGTCAGTGGGCTGAACTCCTACCTTGCAAAGGTCTGGGAAGTCCAACGAAGTGGTCATTTGCAAGCTGAGTCTCTTGGCAGAATCTGCGAAAAGGGTGAAAGCATTTGAAAGGGTGGGGCAACTTTGCGCAAGGTCCAGTGGGCTCAGAATCTCCCCCCTCCCCATTTGCTGGTGGCTCTCTAGATGTTGGCCTGAGCAGCTTCTGGGGCTGCCTCTGCTGGGGTCGTCCTGAGGAGGTTTGCTTGGTCAGCAGCCTCTGAAGGAGGGTCCTGGTGGCTGCAGGGTCACCCTGATCCTGCAGGGTCAAAATCAAGGGCACCTTCTAGGCAACTGTGATCTGCCTTGCTCACCAAGTGTGCTGTTGATCTGACCGTGGCCGCAGGATCACAAGGACCCAGACATCTATAGGAAGTGGGAGGTCAGAAACTGGTCAACAGGCTTTAATTGCAACTGCTTGTGCTGGTCTCTAGTCCTCCGAGACTTTCTTTTTAAGCAGTCTGCCCTTCTCTCCCCTCTGCCCCACCCCGCTTTTGGCCCCAGAATCCTGTTACAGGGTTGCTTCCTGCCAGCTGCGACCACCCAGACGCCTGGGTCCGAGATAATGTCTACAGCATCCTGGCTGTGTGGGGACTCGGGCTGGCCTACCGGAAGAACGCTGACCGTGACGAGGACAAGGCGAAAGCGTACGAACTGGAGCAGGTACAGCCTGCAATGGAGAGGGGGGACTGTGTGGCAAAGCCCTCCTTCTCCTCTTTGGTTACCGACTGATCTAGAACAGCTCCCAGCCAACCCCCAACCCCCTCTTGTGGATAAGTTGGAAAGGAGCTGGTGGGATTTTGCTTTCTCAGCACCTGTTGTGTTTCTTCCACCTTGGGGCTGAGTAAGCGAAGTGCGTATCTCACATGTTTCCATGTGAGGACGGCTTAAACTGGTGAGGTTTGGGGGATAGACGCTCCCTTTCTTGGAGAGCAAGAGCTGCAGCACTGCCCTGTGGCCCCCGGGAGTCGTGCAGAAGGGGAAGGGTCTCTCCTCCAAAAGAGCTTCCCGGGAGCAAGTGGGCCTGCCTGAACTGCTAGAAAGAGGGAATCCTGGGACAAGCAGGCCTCCTTCCTGGCACCAGGAACGGCCTGCAGTGACCCCAGTAATCTTATCTCCTGCCTGTAAAGGTCAGGCTTTTAACACCGGATCTTGGGGCCAGGGCTACCCACTGGTCCTCACCTGGGCCTGGGGTGGAGGCAGCTGCTCTGCAACACCGAGTCTGTCCCTGTTCCTCACCCACCCTGGAGGTCGGGGGGGGGGTGTCAGTGAACAGCTGGCTGGAGTCGGCCCAGTGAACCCGAGTGCCAGTCCAAGTGTCCTTCCACCGTCTCAGCTGCCTTGTCCTTTGGAGGCTTCTGTTTATGAGGGCAAGACAAGTGGGGGGAGGGGGATAGGTTGCTCGTGCCCCGTATGAGTGCTATAGAGACCCTGGGTGTTGATAGCCAGCTGCATCAGCAAGCAAAGAACAGGCTGCAGTAGATGAGCTGGCTCTGGTTACAAGCTGGACCTCAGAAAGGTCACCTCGCCTCTTTGGCCGCCCTCCAAGCAGTGCTCTCCCCTTTCCTCCTCTTGCAGAGCGTGGTGAAGCTGATGAGGGGCCTCCTGCAGTGCATGGTGCGGCAGGTAGGGCTCCTGAAGGGCAGCACAGCTGGCAGGGGCTGTGCCACTCTGGCCCCTGGCAAAGGTGGGCTCCTAGGCTTCGGCCAGGCTCATTCCTGGCCCTCTGCAGACTGGCTTGGCAGGCCACTTGCTGAGGCCAAAGGCCAGTGAAGCCAACTCCTCTTGGCCACGTGCTCTTTGCCCAGGTGGACAAAGTGGAGGACTTCAAGTACAGCCAGAGCCCCAAGGACTGCCTGCACGCCAAGTATAACACCTGCAGCTGTGCCACTGTGGTGGGGGACGACCAGTGGGGCCACCTGCAGCTGGATGCCACTTCCCTCTATCTGCTAATGCTAGCCCAGATGACGGCCTCCGGTAAGACCTCCTGCGAGCATCTCTTCAGGGCAGGGAGGGGCTCGGAGACAGGAGGGGGACAGCCCCGGCTTCCCTCTGGCAGAGCACCTGGGAGGGAGGGCCGCCCGGCTGTGCCTCGCATCTTCTGTCTTCCAGGGCTTCACATCGTCCACAGCCTGGATGAAGTCAGCTTTGTCCAAAATCTCATCTTCTACATCGAGGCTGCCTACAAGACTGCGGTGAGCGATGCCCGGCCTGGTGCTCCGGGGAACCGGGGGCGGGTGGTGGAGCTGTGGGCAACCATGCTTCCAGGGGCAAGCCTAGTGAGGAACGGCATTAATTGGCAAGAACATTTGGGTATTCGAAGTCCAAGGGCCTCACTTCAGCCAGCTGGGATCCAGCAGAGGAAACTGGAGGAAAGCTTCTACCCGGCTGAAAAGGCACAGCCACTTTCCCAGGGAAAGGGGGGGAGGAATCCAAGCCAGGTGGGGCACAATTTGGCAGCCAGCCTGGGCACCCATTTTGGGCAGACCAGCTGGGCCTCTGGTGCCTGGCTCGGTAGCTGAAGGCTGTGGACCTCACCACCAAGAGCCAGAGCCTTCCGTGTCTTCCAGCATCATCAACACATCCATGTTGTTTGGCAGGACTTTGGGATTTGGGAACGTGGCGACAAGACAAACCAAGGAATTACAGAACTGAATGCCAGCTCGGTGGGCATGGCAAAGGTGAGGGGAGCCCTGGGCTGCTGGAGGGGCTCAAGCCCATTGTGGAGCAACAGGCAGCATGCCCAGTAGGCTTTTCATGGCCCAGCAGGTAGAGGGTAGATTCCCCAAAACCTGGTTGTCCCCAAAGCTGTTCCCAATTTTAGGGAGCTGCAGGACTCCCAGGGCAGGAACATTTGATCCCAGTGGTTCTGCTGGGAGGCGATTCTTTTAGCAACTTGACTGGCACCTCTTTCCTAAATCTTTCGGCATGCCAGAAATTTCAGGATCTGTAAACGGACTGTGCCCAGTTGGCCAGCTGTACATTGTCTCCAAATGCTTCTCAGGCAGCGCTGGAGGCCTTGGACGAACTCAATCTCTTTGGTGCCAAGGGGGGTCCCCAGTCGGTGATCCACGTCTTGCCAGATGAGGTGCAGCATTGCCAGGTGAGGGGCAGAATGAGGCCTTGGATTGAGGGGAGCAGAGGGAGCGGTCAAAGGCAGCTGAGATTGGCAGAGGCTCCCACTTCACAGGGCCTCTTGGCCACTGCCTGACACAGTGGATGGTCCGCCTGCCAGGCCCTCAGTCTGCCTCTGCACTGGGACGTGTCCTGTGTTGCACCCGGAGCACCTGGGCACTGCCAGTTGCCTGAAGGGCTGCAACCTGCCGGTATGTCTTGCACAGTATCTTTTGCTTCTGTCTCGGCAGTCAATTCTGCACTCCATGCTGCCGAGGGCCTCCACTTCCAAGGAGATTGATGCCAGCCTCCTCTCGGTCATTTCTTACCCGGCGTTTGCGGTAGAGGACATGGACGTGGTGGAGAAGACCAAGGAGGAGATCATTGCCAAGCTGCAGGCAAGCACTTCAGCCCTTGGTGGCCAGGCTGCGGTGCTGCCGGTTGAGCTGCAGCTCCTTTGGCTCGCCAAGGGCTTGACGTGTCCCTCTTGATCTCAGGGCCGTTACGGTTGTTGCCGGTTCCTCCGCGATGGCTACAGAACCCCCAAGGAGGTAAGCTCCAGCGTGCCAGTTCCAGGCCCCAAGAGGCCTTGCCTGGATCAGAGTCTCCCAGGCAGTCGGTTGCAGGACGCTGCTTGGCAAAGGCCGGGCCCCACACGCAGCCAGGTGGAGCCTTTGCATTTTTAGAGTGGAAGCTGCCTGCAACAGAAGTGAAGCCATTGCATGTCAGGGCTGAACAGGGTGGGCGGAAGTTGACCTGCGCTTTATTGAGCAGTTGGCAACATTTTGTTGCAAGGAGAAATGTGGTTTGTTCTGGGATCAGACATATATTGTTTTTTAAAAAAGCAGCAAGACGGGTCAATATTTGGAAAGTGGGTTGTGCCCTCTGCAGCTTCTTGAGCGGAGGCTCCTCTGCCATTATGCTGTTCTGCCCAGTTGCCTTGGAGAAAGGAAGCGAGATGCTGCTCTCATCCGCTTCCACCCATCACCCTCCTGCCCTCCCTCGCAGGATCCCCAGCGCCTCTACTACGAGCCTGCAGAGCTAAAGCTCTTTGAGAACATAGAGTGCGAGTGGCCGCTTTTCTGGACCTACCTGATCATCGATGGCCTCTTCAGCGGCAATGCGGAGCAGGTGGAGCAGTGCTGGGCTGGAGGGGGGCTGGCCAGGAGAGCAGGACCCATGCCAGCCTGGGCCTTTGTGAACTCCCCCTCACACCTGACAGCCCCCACACCTCTTTCCAGGTGCAGGAGTATCGCGAAGCTCTTGAAGGGGTCCTGATCAAGGGGAAGAATGGGGTGCGGCTGGTACCAGAGCTCTACTGTGTCCCCCTGGAGAAGGTCAGCAAACGGAAAAAAGGAGCCCCCCCCCAAGAAGAGATGCCTGCCTGCCTCTGGTGACTCCTGTGGAGTCAGGCATCCAGGGCCCAACCAGGACTAGTGTTTAGCAGATACGTTTACATCTTCCAGGCCCATTTTTTTTCTGGATGCAAATTAACAGACAAAACTGTCTTAACATATTTGAAGTGGGCCCTTCTTTGAAAGCATCTAAACTGGAAGCTTCTATAATAGATTTTCAGTCAATCCCTGAGCACCTGTGCATTCTCTGGCTTTTGTGTTTCCTTAAGGGTGTAACTAATCTGCAGCTCCTGGCCTTCTTCTGCTTCTCCAATCTGTCTTTCTTGGTCTGTCCTGATAGGTTGAGGAGGAATACAGCCACCCCCACACCGTGGATCGCCTACCCGTGGGCAAGCTGCCACTGATGTGGGCCCAGTCCCTCTACATTTTGGGCTGCCTCATGGCAGAGGTGAGCTTCAGCCCCATCCTTTCCTTGGCGTTGCCTGAAGCTCTTGGTGGGTGGCAAAGAGAATCTCCACGCCCCCCTCCCCAGGCCTAGCTCAGCATAAAGCAGCCAGCTTGTAGCTTCCCCGGATGCCAGCTTAGACCAGGAACTTGATCACCCAAGGGGGGCTTGTATAGGTTTGCTCTACACACCTTGCAGCTGACCTCTAGGCCTCCCCAGAACAACATCAGGTAGCCCAGCGAGGTTTGCAACGGAAACCCGTTAGTGCAATGAAACCTCTGCCCTCAGGAGCAGTATACCTCTGTCCACCCAATAGCAGAAACAGGGTTTTCCTCTGGATTTTGTGGGTGGCCTTCCCAAAGAGACCTGGTGGAGCCTGGGAGGGGGGGGGGAACAACTGTGCCCTTGCCATAATCCAGCTCCATGTCTCTCCCCGCAGGGGTTCCTGGCTCCGGGAGAAATTGACCCTCTGAACCGCCGGTTTTCGACCATTCCCAAGCCAGTGGTGGTGGTGCAGGGTGAGAAGAAGCCTGGGTGCCAGTGTGGATTTCTTGCAAAATGGAGGCGGGTGTGGAAGGTGGTTGCTCTGGAGGGGCCCTGGTTGATCTGGGCCAGCCCCCCTCGCCTGCCCTGGGCAGCCAGCCTGCCCCTCATGCCAACTGCCAGGGCCTCCGGGCAGGGCCCTTCCAACCCTGCAGGTATGCCCTGACCCCACCCTCCTTTCTCCTGGCTAGTGTGCCTCCTGGCGGAGACAGAGGCCATCCAGGCCATCCTGAGCAAGGAGGGCATTCTGGTGGAGACAGTGACTGAAGTCCACCCCATCCGAATTCAGCCAGCCAGAATCCTCAGCTACATCTACGCCCGCCTGGGTGAGCCCAACAGAAGATTTGAGAGACCCCTCCCCCCACTCTCCCCAGAGTCTTGCTGGTGGTGGTTGGGGCAGTGGGGGGGGGTTCAGGGTCTTCCATGATTGACCACCAGCTGGCACCTTGCCCCAACAGCCTCTTGCTCTATTCATCCACCTGGAGGCTCTTGACCAGCTGCAGGTGTAACTGATCCTGCAGGATGAAAGGGGGGGGGGCGCAAGGTTGCCTCTGCCGCTGAGCCAGCTGTCCCTTCTCTTGACAGGCCGCAACAAGCGCCTGGGCCTCAGTGGGCGCCCCCTCCGACACATGGGGGTGCTTGCAACTTCCAAGTTCTATGACATCCGGGACAACATCTTTGCTTTCACCCCTGAGGTTGGTGAGGGGAGAGGGCAAGGCCACGCTCCTTGTGGGGGGCAGCAACCAGCCTCAGCAGGAAGCTGCCTCCAGGGCATTGGAGAACCTTACTGATGTATGGGGAGGTTGCTTGTATTGTCAGGTGGGGCTAGCTAAAGAACCTGGCAGTTCCTCCCTTTGGAGCACAGCCAGAGCACAATTCACATAGATGCCCCCAACCCCCCTCCCTTTAAGCCCCAGCAGCTCTTGTATGAACCCCTGTTGATTGAGGGGAGGGGCTTTCTCCCCGCCCCCAGCAGTGCACTGCCCTTCTTCTTGGGAACCTCCCTCTCCCCCCCCCCCCCCGCCGCCTCTGTTCTCTTCTCATTGGCATCATCCATCCTGCCCATCTGCAGTTCATCGACCAGCAGCAGTTCTACCTGGCTCTGGACAACCGGATGATTGTGGAGATGCTGCGGACAGACCTTTCCTACCTGTGCAGCCGTTGGGGCATGACGGGGCGCCCCACCGTCACCTTCCCCATCTCGCAGACTATGCTGGGTGCGTTACCTGCGTGGTGGAGGGCTGGGCTTCCAAAGCGGGAGGAGTGGCAAGCCTGGCCGGGCACAGTTTGCCTGGCCTTCCTCTGAAGAGTCACCAACCCCAGGCTGCTTTTTCCCTTTTGAAAAGATGAAACGGGGGCCAACCTCCACCCAGCTATCCTGGCTACGCTGCGGAAGTTGCAGGATGGGTATTTTGGAGGGGCAAGGTAAGCAGAGGTGCCTCTTCCTCCTGGGGCAGTTCTGGCTCCCCACCTGGTACAGAAGTACTCGTGGGGAATTTGAGGCGATGAGCTCAAGGGGGCTCCCTCGGAGGAGGGGATGTTGCCCCCTCTGGCACGGGGACTCTTCCCACCTGTCCCTCTCCCTCTGCTTTGGCTCCTGCAGGATCCAGACTGGTAGGTTGTCTGACTTTCTCACCACTTCATGCCGCACCCACCTCAGCTTCATGGATGCCGGGCTGGAGGGTAAGCTTTATGCCGATGACTATGGGCTCAGCCTTGAGAGCTTCAGAGATTTAGACCCTGAGGACTGGATGCATGGCTTTCAGTTGGCAGAAGATGGTAAGGAGATGGGGCCGCCCCTGTTCCTGCACTTGAGTGTGCGGTGGTCAGGAATGCCGGACCTCTTAATCCAGACAGTAACAACAGCCTCCTCGCTGGAGCGTAACTCACGGTTGTCAGCCCACGGGAATTAACCTCCAACCCCCCCCTCCCAAGGTGCCGCCCCTTCTGGCAGGGGCTCTGTGTGCCCAGGCTGAAGAGGGCAGGGGGCACCATCCTGGCTCATGTGGGGAGCTACTCTGAGGAGCAAGCCTGGGGAGAAGGCCGAAAGGGAGAGGGGGGAGCGGGGTTTCCAGTAAGGGTTCCACGACAAATCTCAAGACGTCCCCCCAATACACACACACCGAGGAACCCCAAGAGTGCTGAACCCAGATAAGAGAGCCCCTGGCTCCCTTTCTGCTCAACTGGGGAAGCCAAAGGCAAACAAGGCAGGGTGTTCCTGTTAAACTGGGGCCTCCCTGGGCCAGGATGGAAGAGGCAACAACCAGCCGTGCTGACGCGTTGCTGCTAGGTGGGTCTTGGATGAAAAACTTGCTGGTCGTCTCAGGAGGGTTTTTTCCACCTGACCAAATGCATCTCCAAACAGCTTCTCTATAAAGCCATCAAATTGTCTCTGCCAGGACTTCACTGCCCCCAAGCCAGGTGGAAAAACAGGCATCAGGTGTGCTCCCCTCCTGGCATTCATTTCCCCTCTGGAACTCTCCCCGGCAACGACAGACATCTCTGCTGGCTTCTCCTGCTGCCACAACCACCTCCTCCTCCTCCTCCGGACTCATCACCCCATTGTAACAATGTCTGTAACCAGCCTGTGGTCACCCCCTCCATACCACCTCTGAATACTGGCATGGTTGCTGCATGTTTGCATTCGGGGCAAATGCTTCACCCTCTGGGCTACTGCATGTGGGGAGGTCGTGGGCTGCAGATTGGTGCTGAATAGGGCCCGGCGTGGCGGTGAGTCAACATGTGAGCATCGCTCAGGCACTCTCAGTCTATGAGGTGTGGGAGATGGTCAGTCCTCTTCGTGGGGGGGCGGCTCTAGCAATGAAACCTGGAGGGATGGCAAGCAGCTTTCCTTGTGGAAATGGCTTTGCGATCATTTGCTGGCCAATGGTACCCAGTTGGTGGCCCCAGCCGCGTGGAAGGGGCCATTGTGGCTCTTCTGCCATCTTTGGGGGGGGGGCATGAAATAGTGCTCCTCCCCTGCTTTGTCAAGGACTGACCTGGCTGGCACCATCAACCACCTTGCAGGCCTCACAACTGGGGCTCATCTGCTGGCTGGGCTTTTTGGGGCTTGCACGGGCACCTCCCCCGAGGCCATCCTTTGGCTTGGCCAGGAGCCCTCTGGACAGGCAGTTCTGCTCCTCTGGGCTGGTCTAAGGCTTTCTCCCTGTTGCTCCTCTCTTTGCAGCTGACCTCTGTGATGATGTTGCCCAATACCTCGACCAACTTCTCCATCACCCCACCCCTAAAGTCAGCCTTCCACCCCCAGCTCAAAAGGGGGGCCTGAATCGCTTCCGTGCTGCCGTCCACAGCACCCAAGACTTCCTGTCCCTGATGTCGAAGGCAAAGGAGCTGCACGTGGAGAGTGAGCATCTGCCTCTAATAATAGCTATGTGTAGCACATTGAGGTGATGGGGAAGGGTCCCTCACCCCAAAGACCCTCCTGCCATGTCCATGAAGGTGAGGGCATTGTTTTCTGTCTCTGCTGCAGACATCAACCTGTACATACCCTCCAAGCTTCTCCTGGATGATCAGCCATCTGCTCACTTGCTGGGTTCAGCCCCAAACCAGGGCGCCCAGGTGAGGTTCCTGAATGATATCCCGTCTCCTTGGGTTGCTTCCATGGCCCAGAGCAACAGGAGGGGGTGTTCTAGCCCTACCAGATGCCATCAAAAGCCCCCCCCCCCAAGCTTCTGCCTGCTAGCAAGTCAGTGGAAGACTGGAGGCTGTGGGCGATGTTTGCACCTTCCCCTCCTTTCAGATCCATAAAGTGGTTAAGCCGCATCTGCATCTCTTGGTCCTCTTTCCTGGTTTGGGGCAGCTTTTCTTGTAAACTCCAGTGATGAGCTGATCAAAGAGACATCTTTTGCCCAAATCCCCTTCTTGTCTTTCCTCTACAAGTTTTCCATCCTCCCTGGCAAGATGAGTCTCCTCAAGGAAGCAAGCGGGAAGGTGGACTGCCAGGCCTTGGTGGACCAGCTCCGTGAATGCCAGACACTGCAGAACCAGGCCAGCTGCCTCCATCTCCTCCACACCCTCAAGTAGGAACCAGGCAGAGCCCTTCCCCTTTTCACCTTGCAGCCCCACGGAGGGAGAGAGAGAGGGAGGGAGGGAGGGAGGAAGAGGCGCCCTAGATAACTCTTCCTGCAGCATTTGCAAAAGCCAGCCCCTGTCCAAAACTCTGCAACAAGGGGCCTCCTCTTGAAGGGAAGGCTGGTGAAGAAATCTCCCTGTGGTTCCTGCAATGATTCTTGGCAAAGGGAGAAGGGAGGCTGCTCGGGAGGAAGCCCATTCCTAGCAGTCCGGACTTCTGTCTTACACCAGCCCTGCCTGCGGCAGCCTCTACAACAACTGCGGCGCCAGTTCCATTGGGCTGCTCTCCAGGCAGGCTGCTTGCTCGGCAAGCTGGGTGCCCACTACTGCTCTGGACAGCCCCTTTCTCTAACCAGCTTGTGCTTTCAGGGGGCCCGACTGGGACACTGAGATCCATGGCATCAGTGGGGCCACCGTCAAGGCTCTCCTGGTGGAGCTCTATGGCAAAGCTGGGGCGACTTGCCAATGGGCCCTGATCCGCTACATCTCTGGCATCCTGAAGAAGAAGGTGGAGGCCCTGGACGAGGTAATGGACCTTGACCTGGATTGACCGGGCTCCGTGGGTTCCCTTCTTCCCGAGGCAGCCCCGTATGGCCCTCCCTGCCTGACCAGCTTCTCTCTCTAGGCCTGCACAGACCTCTTGTCGCACCAGAAGCACCTGACGGTGGGGCTGCCCCCAGAGCCTCGGGAGAAGACCATCTCTGCGTGAGTCCTCAGCCTGATTGCAGGCTCTGGCTAGATTACCATCTTTAAAAAATATTTTTATTGCTTAAACAAAGAGAAAAAGAAACCAAATGTATCATTATAACAGTTGTTACAATTCTATAGTTATGTAATATAAAGATTCAAATACAAGGCAGCCGGCCGTGGTCTCCTCAAAATCCCCGATCCTGCTGCCTCCACAGTCCCCTGCCCTACGAGGAGCTCACCCAGCTGATAGACGAGGCCAGTGAGAAGAACGTGAACCTCTTCATCCTGACGCAGGTAAGCCACGATCGGCATTTCTCCGGGGTCCCACAGTGGCCGGCTCTGCTAAGCGCTGCTCCTTCCACTCTCTGCAGGAGATCATGGTCTACCTTGCCATGTACATCCGGACGCAGCCTGCCCTGTTTGCGGAGATGTTTCGCCTGCGTGTTGGGCTTATCATCCAGGTGATGGCAATGGAGCTGGCCCAGTCGCTCTGTTGCTCAGGTGAGTGGGACCAGCCTGGGTGCTGCTAGGCCGGCTGGCCGATTGAAGGCCTCCTTGTGGCTCTGGGGGAGGGAGGGGGCTGCAGCGAAGGGCCTTTCGGGTGGGCTGGGGGAGAGAGAAACCCTGGGTTGTTCAGCGCCTCCTTTCCTCTTCCTTTGGCTTCAGACGAAGAAGCTGCTGAAAGCTTGATGAATCTCAGCCCGTCCCATATGAAGAACCTTCTTCATCACATCCTCAGTGGCAAAGAATTTGGTGTGGAGAGAAGCGGTGAGTTGCTCGCCTCAGGTGGGGGCTGGGAGGGAGAGCCAGCCCAAACGGATACAACTAGCTTGGGAATCCTGGGACTTGTAGCCCCAGCTCCCTGAACCCACCTGCTGAATGAGCTCCAGGAACCCAGGCTGGCATGCTGACTCTTGGGCCTGATATTCCTGCAGTGCGGGCCACAGATTCTGCCCTGACCCCAGCAGTTTCCATCCGTGAGTTTGGAGCTGTGGGAGCAACGAAGTCGGAACGCACCGGCATTGTCAATCTCAGGAGTGAGATCAAGCAGGTGGGCTGCTCTGCCTGGCCTTGCCCAGGCAGGGGAGGATAATTTCAGAGGCAGGAGGGTAAGCATGTGTCCGCTGGGAAGTTGTAGCTTTCTCCACCCTGGCAGACAGTTGCTCTGCCGAGCCCCAGATGAGGATGGGGACTTTCTTCCCTTGTGTGGTAGCCAAAGGGAGGGGGACTCAAGGTGGCTGGCAGAATTTTTGAGCCAACTCCTCTAGTAACTCCCCGGCCTGGGCAAATTTGCTTCTTTTTTCCAGGTGGGCTGGGCTTTTCCATGGGGGGGGGTGTTAGTGCCAGGGAGAGCAGCTTCCTCTCCACATCTAACACCTTTTTTCTCTTCCAGCAACTGGATAGACGTAGGCGGTCTTTGTCCGAGAGTAAGGTGAACCCCCCTGTGCTCCATTCAAAGGGCAGCTGACTCGTGACTTCCTTTTCTGCCAGGGGCGCCTCGACCTGCAGGAGCCATAGAGGGTCTTGAGTGGGATGGGCAAAGGACAAAAGTGTTGCAAATGCAGCTGCTGCTTCTGGCAGAGTGAAGGGAGCAGGAGTGGGCTGACCTTGACTAGACAGAGCCAGCCTGGTGTTTACCTGGCATCGGGTCCAGAGGAGAAGGCAGAACTGGTGGAGGCCCCTTGGCTTAGCTCCCCTTCCCAGCCAGTTCTGGAGGTGGTGGAGGCAGCTGGGCACCTTAAAACTAGCCTTCCCCATGCCTGTAGCAGTGGGCATTCCAGGGCCACAGGAGAAGGGGCTCCTTGGGAGCACTTCCCCAGAGGTGGCCAGTCAGTGGGAATCCACGCCCCAAGAAGCCGGTGGAAGCGAGGGGCATATGCAGCAGCCTACGGGCTGAGTTTGCCTGCCTGCCTTCTGACTCCAGGGGAGCCACCTCACAAACGGCCCTGCACCTCCCCTGGGCCAGACAATCTGGACTGGAGCTGCCTGGGCTTGCTTGGCTTCACTTCTCAGGGTCCACAGCTCCCCCCCCCCCGCCTCATGCTGGCTTTTGAAAGAAGAGTGTCCGCTAATTTTTCTCACACTTTGCTTTTAACAGAAGAACTGGCTGTGGCTTTGTATGTGCACTCAGCTCTCATGCCACATCCTCCCTGCGCTCTGGCCGTGGCTGCCACCAGTCTCTAAAGAGGGCTGCAACTGATCTTCTTTCTTTCCAGGCTGGAGCCCTGCATTTCTTGGAAGATGGAGCAGACCCTGCCCAGGCAAGTCCTCCCTCTCGAGCTGCTTGGCCACAGCCTGCTTCTGCGGGCATGGCCAACTGTCCGGCTTGTTCCTCTCCAGTTGTCCAGATCCTCCCTGGCTCCAGGCAGAAGAGATCCCACTCAGGCTCCCGGGGATTCCTCCACCAAGGACGGGCGTCAAGGGCAGTGGCTGCGGAGGCGGCGGCTGGACGGGGCCCTCAACAGAGTCCCAGTGGGGTTCTACCAGAAAGTCTGGCGGATCCTGCAGAAGGTGAAGGGGCTGGCACCTGTCTGCTCCCCCCCATCTCAGCTGCAGTGTAGCAGTGCTGTCCAAGCCATTCGGCCACCTGAGTGAAAGCACTCTTCCGGGCTTGAGAAACTGCAGAGAAAGGAGGCCCTGGATAAGAGGAGCTCTGCAGCCAGGCTGAGCAGTTCCTGCGGGCAGCTCCAGGCTTGCTATCAGCTGACGCAGAGGACGAGCCAGGAGCTGGCAGAATTGGGGCTGGAGGCTGGGCCTCCTGGCTCACCTGAAAAGCTGAGACCTCTTGTCTCAATGGCCTGTGGAAACAGCACCCTGGGCCTCCAGTGTGTAACTGCTGCCTTTCTCCTCCCTTCCTGTAGTGCCACGGGCTTTCCGTTGAAGGCTTTGTTCTCCCTTCTTCCACAACTAGAGAGGTAATGGCTGCACTGTCCCTTTATCCTAAAAGGGGGGATCCTGCTCCCCAAATATTGTGCCTGAATGGGGTTCCTCCATTGCTCCTCATGGCCCTATCTGCTACCCCAGACAAGGCCTTTTGGCTTCTGAGGAAGACTCCTGTCCCTGTTCTGGCCCTTGATTGGGTGCCTTGTGGCTATCAGGAGCCGTCCATTATTCTGCTGCTCTCTTACAAAGAGGCCCATTTGGGGGCAGTTTATGGACAGCTAAACTCAAAAGAGACTTCCTTTGGCCATAGATGACTCCTGGAGAAATCAAGTTTGCAGTCCATGTTGAGTCCGTGCTAAACCGAGTCCCTCAGCCTGAGTACCGGCAGCTCTTTGTAGAAGCTATCCTGGTCCTGACGCTGCTGACAGATGCCGACGGCCCCAGCATCGGGGGCCTGGTGGCCGTGGACCGGATTGTGCATGTTGCAAATGATTTGTTCTGCCAAGAGCAGGTTGGGGCCTCTTGTTGCTGGGGCTTCCCTGGCCGAGGGAGAAAAGGCAGGCTGTGTGGCCTGGCTGTTGAGGGAGGAAAATCTCTGGAGCGTGGCTGCTCAGCTGACCACACCTTGGCCTGCTGGACAGAGTTCTTGGGCCTTCCGGCTCTCCACTGTGGCTGGAGCAGATGGGAACATAAACCCAGCCAAAGGGAGTGGGGTCCCCTACCTGGAGGGGGGGGGCACTTGGCCCTGTCCTCTGGGTAATAACACTCTTACTGTTGTGTTGCAACCAGAAAATCCTGGGGGCCGATGACCCCATGCTGGAAAAGGACCCGGCCACTGGCATTTGCAAGCTGTTCTATGACAGTGCTCCGAGCGGCAGGTTTGGCAGCTTGACCTACCTCTCCCGAGCTGTGGCCACCTGCGTGCAGGAGTTCCTCCCAAGCAGTGGCTGCACCACGCAGTGAAACTGTCCGGATTCCTCAGCACCAAGAGCCCCCTTGGGGTGGACCCTCTCCCAGAGCAGCTCTACCCCCTGGAAGCCAGCAGCGCAGCCAGCTGCTTTCAAGAACGGCAAGCAAGATGTGAACTCAGAGGTGTCTGGCCAGACCTTTCCCATCCCAAGAGGTGTCTGCCTGCCTGCCTGCCTCCCTCCCTCCCTCTCTGTGTCCCGAGAACGGAAACTTTGCTTTTCACGTGAACCAGGAGCCACACTGTTCTGAGGGAGAAGCCCTCCTTTTGAGGGGCTTTTCTTAGCTAGACTCATCCTGTAAATCATGGCTGCTTTGCTCCTTCTCAGAGAGCAACTCCATTCAAGGGGGAATGATGTCTTCTCTGGTGGAAGGGAGGCCACTCAGTGCTTGTGGGAGGGTCTTTTCTGCCAAGTGACACAGCATTCTGGGAAGAAAAGTCCCTGGAGCATCCTTTGGGGCAGGCTGGAAACCTCCTAGGCTATGGCTTTGTGCACGGGGAATGGCAGGGGCTGGTTGGCAGAGTGATGGCCAGAACCTCAGAAGGGTCCCCTTGCAGCTTGATCCCTCTTCCCCCTTGGGAGCCCCCTCCTCGTTTGGGTGGTGGTGGTGGTTGGGGGCTACTCTGGCGCAGTGCCTGGATGTGGGGTTTTTCCCGTGCGCCGGGCATTTTCTGCGCGAAAGTTGGGATGGAGCGCGGGTTGTGCATCCGGCGCCTTCCGTGTCCTTCAATAAACCGCTGAGCTGGAGTGACGGCCGGTCTCTGCACGTGATTCTTGCGCGGCGGATACGGGGAGCCGAGCGGGACCCCCGGCCGCGCCCCTTGAGGCTTGGTTGCGGGTCGAAGACCCTGGTGGGGGCGCCCCACGCAGACGCGGCCGGGCAGGGGGCGTTCGGCGCGGGCTGCTCAAGAACAGTACCCGCCCGAGTCTTTCCACGACGACTCCTCGGCGAGGTAGGACTTCATTTCCCGGTGCGCCACGCGGCAGGAACCCCGCCCCGAAGCGCGCGCGAGGCCCGCTTGGTCCGGGGCGCCCATGGACGGATCGCCGCCGCCGGTCTACGTGTACGGCGCCGAGTACGTGGCGCGATGCGATGCCCTGTGCAAGGTCCCGCGGCGGGTGCGTGGCGGGTGCCGGGGAGAGGCCGGGGGGGGTGCTCCCCCCACGCTCGGGAGGAGCTCAGCCGGCGCCCTTCTCTCCGCAGGCCAGCATGGTGCACGCGCTGCTGGAAGCCTACTCGCTGCTGAAGCACATGAGGTAGGAGGGCGAGCGGCTCCCTTCTCGGCCCGGGCGGGGGTCTCGCCGCGGCCCCCGCCCGCCTGAGCCTTGCCTTCCTAGGGTCGTCCAGCCGCGCCCCGCGACCATGGAGGAGATGGCGGCCTTCCACACCGACGCCTACCTGCAGCACCTGCAGCAGGTCAGCGAGGAGGGCAACGAGGACCACCCGGACTCTGCGGAATTCGGACTCGGTGAGCGGCGGGCGGAGACCCCGGGCCGGACCCCTCCCCGCGGTCGCCGCTGATTTCGCCCGCGCCTCGCCTCTGCTCTCCCCCGACTGCAGGCTACGACTGCCCGGCCAGCCAGGGCGTCTTCGAGTACGCGGCGGCAATCGGCGGCGCCACCCTGACGGCGGCGCGGTGCCTGGCGGAGAAGATGTGCCGGGTGGCGATCAACTGGGCCGGCGGCTGGCACCACGCCAAGAAGTACGGGCGGCGGGCGCTGGGGGTGGGGCGGGGAACGGCTGGCTTCCTGTCTGTCCGAGGCAAGCGCTTTCCCCGCGCGGATTGCCTTTGCACCGGGGAAGCCTCGCGGAGCTGCAACGTCTCTTTTCAGGGACGAGGCTTCGGGCTTCTGCTATCTGAACGATGCGGTGCTGGGGATCTTAGAGCTGCGCCGGAAGTTTGACCGTGTCCTCTACGCTGACCTAGACTTACATCACGGGGACGGTAAGGCTCTTCCTTCCTCCTTGCGCTAATGGCTGCGGAGTTAAGCGGTCCTCCCCCTCCCCAAAGCTGGTGACCAGAGGACAGAGAGAGGGAGCTAAAAGGCCAGGGAGGGAAGGCCTGCTTGGCCTGCAGAAGGGAAGGCTGAAGGGAAGCAGACTCACTGTCCCCAAATGGGACTCAGATGAAGAGGAAGTGAATCTTGTTTGGGTATCTGGATGAAACTGGATGGCAATTCAGAAGGTGAACAGAGGCTGGGGATGGAGTGAGCATCTGATGGGGACACTGTATTAACCTGGCAACGGGTCGGTCTACATGTTCTCCAGGGTTTCTTCTAACCCTTTGATCCACTGGGGATATCCTGTGGCTTCTGATTCCCAGAGAAGTTGCCATGTTTTCCTTGGCTTCAATCCTCCTCTTTTGCCCATTTCTGGACTTTTTTCTGTTGCTTCTTTCATTCCTCTAATGCATCTCAGGGAAACTGGGCCTGTCCATGTTCTGACATAATACAGGCAGTCCTCGACTTACATCCATTCGTTTAGTGACTATTCAAAGTTAAAGCAGCACTGAAAAAAGCGGCTTACCACCACTTCTCATGCGACCGCTGCAGCATCCCCAGGGCCAGGCGATCCAAATTCAGACACTTGGTCACTGACTCGTATTTATGACGGTTGCAGTGCCCCTGGGTCATGTGAATGGGAAAGCCAGATTCACTTAACTGTGTTACTAACTTAACAACTGCAGTGATTCACTTAAAAACTGTGGTTGCAAAATAGGGCAAAACTCACATAACAAATGTCTCATTTAGTAACAGAAATTTTGGGCTGGATTGTGATCGTAAGTTGAGGACTACCTGTAGCAAAGGGGGTGGCGCTTGGTTAATGCTCCATTCAGCGACTGTTCTGAACAAGCGCAACTTGCGGCCGGTTCTCGGAGCCCTGGCCACCATCAGATGGCCACCCTTAGTGGCCTTTGCTGACCTCCTATGAGCAAAGCCCGTGGGGAGGACCGGCCACGCAATGTCCTCCCTTAAAGACTGTGCCGATTTCTCAGCAGTGGCCATAGAGATTGGGATTGCTCTCGCTGGGAGTTGGGGTCACGTGAGGTCACGCTTTTTGACCTCGTATCCCGGTCCCAATTGCCATTGTTAACGGAGGACCCCCTATAAAGGGCAGAGGGCTGGATGCTGAGTTCCGACAGGAGCAGGGTGAGGTCGGCTCTGGGTGCAAAGGAGCGCCTCCCCCTTTGCTGTCTGCACAGGTGTCGAGGACGCTTTCAGCTTCACCTCCAAAGTCATGACGGTGTCTCTGCACAAGTTTGCTCCTGGATTTTTCCCAGGCAAGTGATTAGTTTATCCAACTGGGTTCTGCCTTGCAGGATTCTTCTTGCTCGGCTTCTTTATGGGGAAAAAATAATTGGATTTGTATGTGCTAATCCAAACCTTTCCACCTACTCAGGAACAGGAGATGTGACAGAGGTGGGCTTCGGGAGGGGGCGCTACTACAGCATCAACGTACCCCTTCAGGATGGCATCAAGAACGAGACATACTATCAGATCTGTGAGGTGTAAGCACCCGCTCGCCAGGCACCTCTGCTGAGTGGGCTGTGCAGGTTCCCCGCCCCAAGGGAAGCTGAATGAGCCCTTCCCTGCCCTGGAATCCAAGCTGCTGATTTGGCTTGGCTTGCTTGCTCCCTCGGAGGTGGCCTGCTTCCTGGATGGCAAGGGGAGGCCTCTCAGAGTCAGGAGATATCAGAGGGCCTCTCCCCTGGCAACTTTGTCTCGTCTTCTTTTGGAGGGGTCCCACAGTGGAATTTCACCTTCCCAGACCTTCACCTTTTTCGGCCCTTGAAACTAATGGCATGTTTAGTGGAGCTTCTGATGGAGTATCCAGGAGCGTTAGCTATTCTAGAATCTCTGCCTTTGTCCCTAACTTTGTCCCTCCCTGGGCTCTGCCCCCCCCCGTAGGCCAAAGGATCCTCAGAGGAATCCAGAGGGAGGGATGGCTGACCCTCAGCAGGGGAGAGATGGGTCCAGCAGCTTCCCTCTTCCTTTCTGTTTCGTTCTGCAGGGTGCTGAAGGACGTGTATGCCGCCTTCTGCCCTGAAGCCGTAGTACTGCAGTTGGGAGCCGATACAATTGCGGGCGATCCCATGTGTGCATTCAACCTGACCCCAGAGGGGATCGGCAAGTGCCTGAATTATGTGCTGCAATGGCAGCTGCCGACCCTTATCCTGGGGGGAGGTAAGCAAGCAAGAATGCAAGTGTGGCACCAGCCAGCCAGGTGCACAGAAATGTAGATTGGGCAGAGCCTGTGGGTCAGCTGCTCTTCATCACAGTCAGTTTGTAAGCCCGCTTGAAGTGCTCATTCTTTTGAAACTTGTAGTGGGAGGTACTTCAACTTGGGGCACCCTGGAAATTTGATTTTTTTTTAATCAAATTCTTAAGGTTCCATAGAGTTAAAAATGAAATGGTCTCAGTACAATGTCCTACATCATCTATGTTTCTTGCTGGGTCAGTGAAGTGGCTTGAATCAATTCTGCAAGTCTACCATTTGTGCCACTGAGCCAGTCAGTTCTGTAGCTTCAAGATGCTTTGTGTGTTCTAACTGGGACCAGAATGGATGTGATGGAGCAAGTACTTTTCACTTTCTTTTCTCTTTGCCCTCTTCCTTATGTGATGTGATGCCTCTTTCCCTCCTGGAGACAGGAGGCTATCACCTTGCTAACACTGCCCGCTGCTGGACATATCTGACTGGAGTCATTCTGGGGAAAACGTTGCCCTCTGAAATTCCCGATCACGAGGTAAGGCTTGAGTTCCTTCCAAGCACAGGAAAAGGGCTGCCCTTAGTCGTGGACTCCCTGTAAAAATAGCCTCTGGTTTATTTATCTGGGGTAGCCGAGAATGGTTCAGATACCTGCAAGACACACACGATGATGGAAGTTTGAAGGAATTCACCGCTACTCAAGGCCGGGGCTACTGTTGGTCCAGATGGGAATGCAGGGAGAAAGCAATAGGCTGGCCCAGGGCTGCCGGACATGCACAGGCCACCCCAGGCTGATTCCTCCCTCTCCTCGTGGAGCAACGGCAGTGCTTGTTGGGATGCAGGGAGGGCCGATGGGGGCGCCAGGATTCTTCCTCTTTTCCCTTCAGCCTGACCTTCCCTCTCCCGGGCAGTTCTTCACGGAATACGGCCCTGACTATGTGCTGGAAATCACTCCAAGCTGCCGGCCAGACCGGAATGAGCCTCAGCGGATCCGGGAGATCCTCAGCTGTGTGAAAGGTGGGTCCTCTGCTCCACACCTTCCCTTCCGGGTTGGAGGCGATTGGAGGGTGAGCCCTGAGGGCTCCAGCAGGAGACAGGCTTGGCATGTCTCTCTTTGCAGGGAACCTGAAACATGTGACTTAGCGGAAAAGAGGACTCCCTTCTCTCCAGAGCCCCTGTACCTGGGAGCAGTTGTCAAAGAGTGCAGAGGAACTGCACGGAAATGCCGGTAGGGCATCGGGAGCCCCTCAGGCTGTGATCCTGGAGCTGTTTGTGCTACTTGGAGCTACAGGGTGTTAAGTTTAAAGGACAACACCCCCCCCTCCCGCCAGCCTGGGCTTCCATCCTCGTCCCTTGCAGAGGCAGCTCATTTAGAAGGAGTGGAAGGCCCCCTGGCCCAGTGCCTCTTGGACTGCAGGAGCACAGCAAGAAGAGACTGCTCTGTTGGTATTTTTTTAACAGCTATTTGCCTTGAAATAAAAAAAATTGGATGATTTTGCCTCTTGTCCTAGTGTGTGGTTCTTAAGTTCTCCTTGGACTAAGAGCTGTCCATAGCAGTTTCCATCTTGTGGCAATGAGTCCCACCGGTTTCATGAGCAGAGTGAGCCTTAAATTGCGCTTGATGGGAGTGACGGGGAGGAACATGCTCCCCCACCCAGTGATTTCATAAAATTCAATGCAACTTCTCTTTGCTTCTCCTCTGGCGTTGCCCAGGTTCCCAGGGTGGCCCTTTAGGCTCTGCTGCCAGCTGCCCTCCTCCTCCATTTCTGGTAGTGCTGGCCTGGACAGGAAGTTCCAGATGCGGCTTGTTAGTTGTGCCTGCAAAGTGGGTCCCCTCTCCAATTGCATTTCGCGGGCGCATGCGAGCTCTGGCTTTGGAGGGTGTGGAGCTGCGCGGCCGGCAAACGGGCGAGTAGAGGTGATGGAGAGCATCGGCTCTCGGAATAAGAACCACCGCTGGCCGCTTGGAGGAGCTGTTCGCTGTCGCCCCCGAGACTTTATGGACGCCGAGAGCCGCCGTACTTCAGCCCGGATATCCGGCCCGCTGTGGAAGTAGCGGCCCTTTCTTGACGGAGCGCGGCCATGGTGAGTACGCGGCTCTTGGCTCGCACCTCCCGGAATCCCTCGCCATCCGTCGGCCTGCTCTGAGCGAAGCGCCCCGGTCGGCGGCAGGTGCATCAGCCGCCCGGCAGGGACCCGCGCGGCCGCTATTTGGCAGCAGGCGCCCTTCCTGGTGCGGGCGGGACCCCATTGAAGATCCTCGGCCCCAAGGAAGACCGGCCTCGGAAGAAGCGAACGGAGGGGCCGGATCGTCCCCACACTGCGCCTGTTCCAGGCGAGGAATCCGGGCTGGACTGCCGCAGTTCCGTTCAAGGGCGGCTGCGTTCCGGGGGCCCCGGGCGGTTTCCGGGGATGGGGCCCGAAGCGTCTGGAAGGGGCTCGCTTGTCTTACCCGGCCGCTCGTCCGCGGCGCATTTGTAACTGCTGCTTTGCGCGGTTCTTGCAGGCTCGCGGACCCAAGAAGCACCTGAAGCGGGTGGCCGCTCCGAAGCACTGGATGCTGGACAAGCTGACGGGAGTCTTTGTAAGTTCGTCCGTTTAAGCACGCTGCGTTTTGGGGCGGGGGGGGATATCATTCCCTGTAACGTGGCCTGAAGGGGGTCGCTGGCGCCGCTTCGACTCTTGTGCTTGGTCGCGTGGAGCCCCCAAGCTAAGCGATTTGCAAAGGTGCGGTCGAAATATAGGCCTTCCAGTACAGTGATCCTTCTTGCTCCAAACCACACCTTTGCTGCGTTCTTGTTAAAATAATGCCACAATTTATGAACGTGGCTTGCCCCGACTGGAGGAGGAAAGGAGCCTGCTGAGTGTTTGGCTTTTCCTACAAAAGGCTGCCCATGATTGAACTTATGAGCATCTTTCTTTCCTATGTGCTGAAGAGAGAATGCCTCTCACTTTTATATTGGACAATAAAAGCAGGAGACCCAATGTAACACTACGGCCAGATGGCCAAGGAATAGGAACACCCACGAGGGGAAGGAAGCGCACTGGGAGATGTTGGCCCAGCCCCAGACATTAAGACCCTGGCGCTTCTCGTGAGCAAGGCAGTGCAGGCAAAAGCATGTTATCTTGAGTACTTTGGGGCGAGGGAAAGTCGGGTTATGGTTGAGGTACAAAAATGGTGATTGGTTTCATGGTTCACTCCAGCTTTATGCCAATCCCTGAAATGGCTTTGTGGGAATATTGTGGCTTGTGTGTGACTTTCCATTGTCTTTGGATTTACAGGCACCCCGTCCATCAACAGGACCCCACAAACTGAGGGAATGCCTCCCACTTATCATTTTTCTCAGGAATAGGCTTAAATACGCCCTGACTGGTGATGAGGTCAAGAAAATATGCATGCAGCGGTTTATCAAGATTGATGGCAAAATCCGCACAGATATTACCTATCCAGCTGGATTCATGGGTTAGTGAAAGTTGGTGCTGGGCTGTGGAGGGCAGTCTACAGATTAGAAGAGGGAAATGTGATTTTTTTGATACTTCCTCAAGATTGCTGCTCATCCCGGATACATAGTTCTGTTGTATTAATTCTAATTAAGTGCCTTGATAGTGTCCGTTCCACAAATAATCTATCCAGCACTAAGTAACTGAGCTCACCTTCTCCAGCCTGGGTGTCTTCAGTTGTTAGATCTCAACTTCAGTAAGCCAGGCCAGTTTTTCTGGGTAAGTGGTTATTGGAGCCAGCCTGGCCCATTTCCATTGTGCAGTTGCCCTCACTTGCTTCCAGTGTTCCCTGGGTGGGCTCTGACTTGCTTTGGCCTCTTTACCTGGATAGTTTCCTGTGCAGCCTTTTGTCTTTGAGGTGTGCCATGTTTTGCGCTCCAGATCTCAGAAGAGTCGAAACCTCTCCTGAGATCTGAAGAAGCAACACACCAAAAGACAAAATCATTGCAGTGCCAACGCCATGGATGTGCCTCCTTTCTCTTTTGGAAGCTAGGGACGTCTCCCAATGCCTTTGTTTTTGGCTGATTCCTTGACCGACACATTCTTCTTATCAGATGTGATCAGCATTGAAAAAACAGCTGAGCATTTCCGCCTTGTATATGATACTAAGGGACGCTTTGCCGTTCACCGCATCACACCAGAAGAAGCCAAGGTAAGCTTGCTAGCCGACCAGTATTCGGAAGACAGAATTGTATTCCTTGACCGTGAAACTGAATAAATATTGATCAGAACAAATGTGCTCTGAAACTGGGACATTGTTGTGCCTGAACATTTTTCCTCATGTTTTTTTGCCCGACTTAATAGATTGTTGTGGTCTTATTTAAGTCCTGTTTTGGAGGGTGCTGAGTAAAATTGACCTCTGAACTTTCTGAACAGCAGATGGGTGGGGAAAATTCCTTCATTTCCTGGAGTGTGTCTTACTAGTTTACTGCTCTAAATGCTAAGGAAATGGTTTTTCATGCTAGGCCTTGAATCCCAGGATAGGCTGAGATTTGTTGTGATACTTCCCAGCTGAAACAATTTGGAAGCTTGTGATAACACAGTCAGTTCTGATGCAAACCTTGGACCTGCTCCCAGGCCTAAATGATTAGCGGGAGCTTCTTGATCCTATCCAGATCCTCCACCAACTCTGCTGCGTGAAGGAGAGGATTGGGAGAGTGATCTGAAGCATCTGTTGGGCTCAGGTCACCTCCCATGCTCTAAGCAGCAGGGTCTACTTCCTGGCTTAATGGCAGTTGGCCAGCAGCTCAACAGCAGGGGAAGACTTGTCTGCTGTGCTTTTAGCAGCTTTGTAATGGCGGAAGCCCAGTCTCGTGAAGAATTCCTGGCCCAAGTAATTCTCTCTGTTGGTTGTCTTCCCAGTACAAGTTGTGCAAGGTTAGAAAGATCTTTGTGGGCACCAAAGGAATTCCTCACCTTGTCACTCACGATGCCCGAACAATCCGGTACCCAGATCCCCTCATCAAAGTGAATGACACTATCCAGATTGATTTGGAGACGGGCAAGATTACAGATTTTATCAAGTTTGACACAGGTTTGTTTTTAAGTGACTTAACTGTGGGGTGGTCAGACTCCTGTAGGTCTGTTTTCAGGGGTTGTAGTTTGTGTCTTGAAGTGTCTGCCATGGAGAGCAAAACACCTGCTCTTTAGATGTGGATAAGAAGCAGCTTTTGTGGAAGAGGGGCTGTGGTCCCGAAAGCCGTGCTGCGCCAAGAGTTAGCCTTTGATTAGAGAACTGAGATGATCGTATGTGCAACTTCTTACTATTACTTTTCCACCTGCAGGCAACTTGTGCATGGTGACTGGAGGAGCTAACTTGGGGCGTATTGGTGTAATCACCAATCGGGAGAGGCATCCTGGTTCATTTGATGTGGTTCACGTTAAGGATGCTAATGGCAACAGCTTTGCCACCAGACTGTCTAACATCTTTGTGATTGGAAAGGTAAACTGCTGGCAGTGGTTCTGCTATGCATGATAGAGAATTGACCAGGCACTTATCGCGCCCTCCTTTGAATACTGACCCTTGGCAAAGACATGTACAAGAAGGGCCATTGTCGACCCTCCTGACTTGTGGGGGAGGGGCTTGGATCTGCCATCCTCCTTCCCTCCTGGCTGAGCAGCTATGCTTTTGGTTTCTACCTGCCAAGAGGGAATTTGTGCAAAAGAATACATTCTTAAATCATATAGTCATAATTTTATGATTTCTGAATTTTTATTAAGAATTTGATAAATTATCAAATTCTTAATAAATCAATTTGGAAACCATACAATTATTCAGTATACCTTTGGAAATGGAAGTCTAAATATCCTGAATAGTTAAAATATCCTTGAAGAAAGATTGCTTTAATCTTTTTGTAATAGAGAGAACTGTGTTTTTTTAAAAATGAGTTGGAGCATGAATATTTACAGATGGGAACATTAAGGACAGATGTGATTAGTTAAAATAACTTCATCTGGGGTTTGAGCTGGTATCAGTCCACCTGGTGAGAGTTGTCAGTTTGGTTTTTTTTTTTTCCCCCTCCTATCAATAATTTGTTTCTCGATTTGTTAGATTGGATCCCAGAAGCTTAATCTAGGGAGCACTGAAAACCTCCATTTCTGATCTGATCCATGCTGATCTGGCTATTCTGGGAGTGGTCCAGTGGCTTTCCAGACATAAATCTTGCTGAGCTGAAAGTGGATCATGGCGTTCTAGAACGTCTAGAATCCCTTCAACTGGGCCCAGAATTACTGACCACCTCTCAAGCAACCAGATTGTTACGGTTCAGAAGAAAGATGGGATGTTTTGATTCTAGCATTCCCAGTAGTGGCAGGACAACCTATTTCCCCCTAACATATTTTCCTTTCAAACTTCAGGGTAACAAGCCTTGGATCTCCCTGCCTCGCGGGAAGGGAATCCGCCTCACGATTGCTGAAGAGAGAGACAAGAGGCTAGCGGCTAAACAGAGCAGCGGCTGAGTCCCTGAGATGCTGTGCAGAGCCCAATCCAGATTCATTTCCGGTTTGATAAATAAACCTTTTCCGTACTTCTCTCTGGGCTTTTCTCTTCTTGGCTGTCCTAGAGCCTTTGTGTGTTCTGCAGGAGAAAATATTATGACATGGGGGGGACACGGAATTTCATGAGGCTTCAGTTCTCAGGCCAGGGTGCCTTTTGCTGTTCATATTTCTCTTGGGTTGGCCAATTCTGGCAGAGGTGAGTTTTCAGTCAAATATTTCTGGCCTCACCCAAGGCATTTTGTTCGTACACCCACAAGAGGGAGATCCTTTTTAATCTGTTCTCTCTGTTCATGAAAGAAACAGCCAGACATGTGATGAAGCTCAGTCTAGATTTTATGAAAGTGTGTGTATGCCTGTGAAGGGAATATTCTGAAAGCATTGGAGATGGAGGAAGAGGAGGCACTTACTGAAGAGACTACAGTTGGTTACGGTGGTTTTATCCTTAGCAAGTCTTACACTTCTGCTAGGTGAGCTCTTTCTGGCTGTTCTTTATAAATCTCTTTACAAAAAGGATCTTGATTCAGGCCGCACAAGGATTTGAATCTGGGAATAGAACAACTAGACTGGTCCTGCATTGCAAAAACCTCTGAAGTGAGATCTTGGGGGCTGCAGATGATTGCTTGGGAAGGTTGACCAGAATATCCCACCCTCACTGATTTTCAGGGTGGCTGCAGTCACGTTTGCTTTGGATTGCATCCGATGTTCCCCTTGCCGTGTCCCAAATCTAGACTTTGCAGTGAACGGCCAATCTCTGTGTGCTCAGAGTCTTCTGAGCATAACAGATGCTCCGAGTCCTTGGAGGTGAAGCTGCTGGAGTCGCTTGCGCCAAAGTCGCTGTCATCTGAAAATGGCAGAAGCTTGGTTTGTGATTGGCAGCCAAGCGTCCCACCTGAACCCTGCACAGGGGTGGGAGGAGCCGATCACTACCCTTTGGCCACTGTTTATCCAGATCAAAAGAGCAGCAGCGGGTCAGACAGTGTTCTCTAGGGAACTCTGTGGGGAAAGGGGACCAATTGAAGTCAGCAATAGCAACCTGGACCAGGTAAGGATGGGGTAACTGGCAGAGGAAGGCCAAATTGAGGAAAGGGGCTGGCAAGGAAAAGGTTTCAGAGGTTGCAGTGATAACAAAATAGTGGGGACAAATAAGGTTCTCCTGGGCCACTGAATATCTGAGTTTCCAACAAAGGCTTGTGTTGTAGCCCATCCTAGAATTAATAAATGACCCTACCAGGCTAACCAAAATGTGTGCTAGTTAGTGTAGAACTCGCTGGCTCGGCTCTGGATAATTGTAGGCTAGACTAAGGGGTCCAAGCAAGTCCCAGAAGAAATAGCAAGATGTCCCGTGCTGCTGCCAAAGGAGGCCTGGAGGTGAAGGGGGGGGTTCTCGGAGGCCTCCCCTTGGTCAGGCAAAGGGAGCCATAGAAGCTGTGGGTCAGAGTGGCCTCACCTATCTGCTTCCGCAAGCTCCCAGGGGCTGAAGAGGACTTGCTGTCTTGCATGGCCCGTTCAAGAGTGTCCACTGCATCGGCCAGAGCGGCTTCCTCCGAGTCCTCAAAGTCTTGGGACTCCCAGTTGTCCTCGGAAGCTGCGAGGAGGAAAGGGAAGTGAGTTAGGCTGGGCTGGGACAGATCCTTCATTGCCCAGAGCCTTTTCCAGCCCTGAGTCTTTGGCTCTCTTTAAGAAAGATCCTGGTCTTGACAGGGTGCTGGGTTCAAAGACTAGAGTAAGAAAGGTGCGTGTGGCTTCCTGAAGCCTGATCCAACCCTCCTGCGCAGGGAGGCTTGGTCCTGTAAGGGGCACAGGGCTCAACGTGCTGCTGCTAGCTACTCTGTGTCAAGGGGGCGATGGGGTAGGGCAGCAAATGTTTGGGGGGGCTGGTGAGAAGTCTTGAAGGAGAGTGTCCCCTGAGAAGCTGGCATCATATGTGGGCAAAGCCCCCAGCATGGAGGCTTCGTGCCCTGCTTGCTCTCTAGGAAACACCTTCTCAAAGTTGCCAAACAGCTGCCTTTGGTCTCCCACGTTATTGACACTGGCTGGGGCTGATGGGTTACAGGACTTTGTAGCTTCACAGTTTATTCCAGACTGCACTAAACTGCCAAATTGACAGTAGGTTTTATAAGTTTCCACACACATGATGGCATTTCAGGTTCACTGTTCATGATGGCATTTCAGGTTCACTGTTTCGTTGAGCTTAGCAACAGAGGGCACATGTGCCCGCTTTACTGCAAACTGGGGCAGGGGAGCCGTGCTAGTCTAGGGTGGCAAAGGAATCTGGGAACAGCTTTTCAGCAGACTATTACAAGGCAGAAGCCTTTGGGAGCTTGTGTCTGATGAAGTGAGCTTACAGGTTTCGGTTGCCTCGGTGTTGATAGGGAGATCTGCATCTGAGGTGCTGCCGAGAGAAGTGCTTGTTTCTTCAAAGTCGGCCGAGTATTGCGAAGCACTGCTGCAGGAGCTCAGGCTGTCTGCAAGGTTCTGGTTGTGCTGCAGAGAGGGGAGCCAGGCAGAGCTGGGTGCCTCGGCTGCACCGCTCGGGATACCCGCTGTGCCAGCCTCGGACTGACTGGGCTGAGCCCCCTCTCCTTTGGGAGCGGCTTCTGGCTGCAACTGGCAGGGTAGCCGAGGGTCCCGGTGGAGGAAGTAAAGGCTGAGGTGCTGCTGGACGTAGGGGAAGGTGAGAATGGTGCTGGCACTTGGCCGGGCTTCTGGGTCCTTCTGCAGGATGCTTTGGATGAGGCCGTGCAGGGGGGCCGGGTAGCAGGCCGGGATGGGGCTGGGGCTGGAGTTCACAATCTTGTGGAAGAGGCTGATCATGCTGAATGCCTGAAAGGGCGGCTGCAGGGCGCACATCTCAAAGAGGACACAGCCCAGGGCCCAGATGTCTGCCTTGGAACTGTAGGGCAGATCCCTGCAGAGCTCAGGGCTGAGGTAATAGGGCGTGCCCACAAAGGTGCTGGCTAGTTCCAAGGTGCCATCCATCACCTTGGAGATGCCAAAATCCCCCAGTTTGAGAATGCAGGTCTGAGTGAGGAAGACGTTGGAGGCTTTGATGTCCCGATGCAAGATCCTCAGGGTGTGGATGTACTGTACCGCCAGAGCCAGCTGCACGAACCACCGCATGATGACTCTCTCGGGAAAGGGTCCCCCTTTCTGGATATGCTGGTCAAGGGAACCCCCATCGCAATACTCCTGCACGATGAAAACATGCGCCTCCTCGGTGTCCAGAAAGTGGCCATGGCAAGCCACCACATGGGGGTGCTGCAGCTGCCGCAGAATGGCCACTTCCTGCAAGATGGCCTCCTTACTGCGCAGCCGCTTCCCGGGTACCGTCTTGACCTTCTTGACTGCAAAGAGCTGCTTCGTCCTGGCGTTCCTCATCAGGAAGACCTCAGCGCTGGAGCCCTGACCGATGCTGAAGATGGGCTCATACTGTTCCATGCTGCCCTGCCGAGGCCCCTCTGCCCGTGACCACCGGGCCGACCCTTCCCTTTACCCATGGCCGGAGGGAGAGGGGGCCAGGAGCAGGAGTCACTCAGCCACCAGCCTGGCCTGGGCTTCCAGGGCATGGCTGAAGCCAGGCCAGAGTGTGGCAGGGGAGCCTGCATCATAAGAATGACTATGACACCGCGCCCCCCAAGCTGATATCAGCTGCAAAGCCAGGGAGGGAGCCAAGTCAGGGCCCACAAGAAGGGGAGGGGGATCAGGAGGACCCTCCTCAACTTTCTCTGCAGTTGATGCACAGGCGATGGATGTCAGCAGCCCAGGGCGGAAGCAACACATTTGGGAGTTAAAAGTATCAAGCATGTGCTTTCTATGGCCCCCTCCTCACATCCCCCAAAGAGCATCCCGGCAACATTTTCCCCATTGTTGCCATATCCCTGGCGGGGGCAATCAACTCCTCCCAACCCCTCACTGAGAAGATGGAGTCTCCACAGCTGTTCTGCTGCCATCAAAGTTGGGCACTCCCAACCCTGTCCGTGGCTTGGTCATCCGCCAGGTGGCCAGGAACCAAAGCGGGCCAGGTGCCATTCTCAATGGGGACAGCCGGCTTTCAGCCACGTTGTCTAGTGGCAGACTGTTGGGTGGTGGAGAAAGCCTCAGGTAGCCTTTGGACAGGAAGGTCCCACTGGGACAGCCCACCCAAGTGACAAGAGCCAATCCACTGCTCCCCAGGCGATGGGTGTCATGCAGTTGCCCGCTCCCCACCCCCACCCCCCAGCTTCATGCACAGAGCCAGGGAGCTGGAGGCCTGCTCGGGGACGCTACTGCCTGCTTGCCACACGAGGGAACTCTTTCCCTGCAAATCAGGCTGCAGCCCAGGAGGACGGTGGCTTCCAGGTGCTCCCTGGTGTCCCCCCTCCGCCCCCAGCCAAGGAGCCAGGGTATATTCTGTCCACTCCCAGCCCGACCTGCAGACTTGGGAAGGCAGTTGAGCCGTTCCCAGCCAGCAGGTGGAATCCAAAGACTGGAAGACTCAGACCTGGGAAGCCAGAAAGTCTCAGCTGCACATTCAGAAAAGGCTTGTCCTTCTGTCACAGCTGTCTAGTGCAGCCAGGCAAGATCTGCAGAAGCCCCTGCAATGGAGAGCTGCTGGCAGACGTAGCCTCTGTCGGATGAGGAGAGGGATGCTAGTCGTGTCAAATATACATGTGGAAGGGTCTTTGTGGGGAGCTGTTTTGGCAGTTCAGAACATCATCTGGCCCCAAAGAAGAGTTTCAAATGAAAGTCAACTTTGGGGAGATGAGGGGTCTCGGGTAGAGCACGAGCCCTCTTTCTGCAGAAGGGGGTCCTTGCGCAGCTTCTCTGGGTACAAATTAAGTACTCTGGCAGTACATGGAACAGCCCAGAGCCTCTCGCCTGCCTAGGGCGGCGTTTCTTCCTTGCTCTGCCACTTCCTCCAGCTCTGGTACTTTCAGGGTTCCCCAAGGCTTCGGGGAGCGCAGAGAGGCGTGACCCAGACTGACGTCAGGGAAAGCAGAAATGGGGGAAGTGGAGGGCGGGAGGGCTGGGCATCTCAGCAGAGAACAAAACAAATTGACGACAACACAGAAAAATGTTCTCAGCTCCACACTGTTATGTAAGAAGATTCTGGAGGCAGCCGGCAGGCAGAGGTGGGAGTGTGGAGCACCCTCCCATGGTCCAGGCTTGCAGCCTTGGCTTGTCTTGCAGACCACGTCCTGTTTCAAGAGGTTACATAACAGCCCCCTGCATTCCGTCCGCCTTGCGGCTTGGAAATTGGCCCTGGGAAGCCATTCTTGGGCAAATTATCTTTCTTGGCACAAAGTGTCCCTTTGCAGAGCTCTGTTCCCATCTGAGAGAGGCAGGGGAATGGCAGCCCCTGGCGTGCCTTCCTCAGCATTGCCTCCCTGCATCTAGGACCAGGTTTCTGCACCTCCCTCAGGGAACACTGAAACATCCATTAGCTCGGAATGTCAGGCATGGTCTGAATGTGAAGCTGCCCGGCTGCCATCCCTCCTGGGCATTCTGCAGAAAGTGGTGCTGCTCTGTGTGAGGGCTGAGTGATCAGGGACCAGCATTCAAACAGCCTTGCTGGCACTGTGGAGCCTCCTGCTGGGGCCATTTGGGGCCCCTGTGGCTCTAGTGGGTGCATGAAGTGACCTGAATGGTCTTCACGCCTGGCACAGTGGCAGTCCATGCAACCACCTTGGGGATTTAAGGGGACAGAGGGAGTCATGTGCCTGCCGTGGTTGGGCTTGGATAGTCTGCAGGCTGGGGAGCGCCTGCCCCACCCCTGGGCACCATCCAGAGGCTGCTGCAATCCTGGCATGGAGCTGCTTCCAAACAGCTGTTATGCAACTCGTCCCTTAATAGCATGGAGGACTTCTTGTTCTCAGCTGCTGCTGGCAAGTCCTTTGTTTTGGTGCTGCTGCTGCTGCTCACTGAAAGGGCAAAGAGGTGGTGCTGAAGGGCGCTTGTTCAGGGAGGGGGGCAGGATGCAAATGCCCCCTCCCCCCAGCAGCCACAGAAGAGCCCCTTTTTCCATTCAGGGAGGCCCCAGAATGGGCACCTCTTGCCCTTGTCTGCAGTGACCCCAGTCAGAAAAGGGTCACTAACTGGGCACCAGCAGCTGCATCTGGCTCCAGGTAGCCCACTTGATAAAAGTAATCTGGCCCCTTAGAAACACCCACCCATTTGCTGTGGCTTCCCTTTTCAAGACTTTAAATCTGGTTGTCTTTAATTAACAACCTGAGACTGTTATTGCTAAGAAAGAGGTCATAATTTAGACTCTTTGTGCCAATCTTGCCCCTGTCACCCTGCCAAATGGAATAACTTACATAAGTTGTGATGCGTTGGATCTGCAAATAAACAGAATGAGAAGAGGCTATTTACTCAGCCTATGTCTGCAAACTTCAAAATGTGTTGGCAAGCAAAGATTGCAGATGCACAAGCCTGCAGAGAGCAAAGGGGAATTTGCAGGACATTCGTTCCCCAACTCCCCATGCCCAGCCACTCAAAGTCACTGCACCATCAGTAAAGTTATAGACCACATTGAAGAAGGAAGCCTGAAGAGTCACATCAGAAGTCCTGCCCTCAAATGCCCCTCAAAGAGAGAGTGGGATTTCCCTCTAGAGTCTACAGCTTTGTATGGAAAGACTGGGAAGATGGTGGACAGGCATGAGGGAGCCTCTGAGGCTTGGCAGCCGGAGGGCAACTGGGCTTCCCTGGGCCCCCCAGGCCAGCAGTGAAGGCGAGAGCCGCTTACTGCCTTTACTGCCAGCCCGGAAGCCCTGCTGGCATAAAGAGCTTTTGACCAAGGCCGGAGAACGGGCCGGGGCAGGCCAGCTTCTGTGCCTTGTGCTGCTGACAGACGGGCAGGTAGCTCAAAGGCACAGTGGACCCACCCACCCCGGGCAAGGAAGTGGTCAAGGAAATGGGCCCGGAGCCTCTGGCTTTCCAGCCCTGGGTGCCAGCTGGAGGCCCTCAGGCTCCTCCAGAATAATCCCTGGTTCAATGCTGTTTCTGGACACTCTTTCTTGTGGGAGGCCTGCAGTTGTTGCTCCTCACCTCCTCCTCAGTTGTTATCTTTGGGAGGCCCTTCCCCCCCCACTTGGTAGCCCTATTCCAAAAGCTCTGCCTATTTGGAACTACCAGGAGGATGACTGGGGTTGCTTCTGGTAGAGGAACATCATCCCTGGGAAAGGAATCGCCTACCCTCCTGGTGATTAAGTTTTCAGGAGCCCCCCTCCAGGAGTGAGAGCAGGGAAAGGGACCAAGGGCCCCATGGCCAGGGCCCTTCCTTGGCAGGGGCGGGGGTAGAGGGGCTGAAACTGAGCAATCCAGATGGCTTCTCTCTGCCTGGCAGTCTGTTCCTTAATTCTTCAGGGATGAGATTTATAGGCATAAGAGACGGAGGCACAGTGGAGGACCTCACAGCCCCCTCCTGAAGCAGTGGAGGAAGTCAGGTGGGGTCACCTGGGAAAGGTAACTACAGCCAGCCAGGTGCACCTTGCTGCTCTCTGTTTCCCAACTGGCAGCCCTGCCCCAGCTCTGGGAGGCTGGGAGGGAGGGAAGCCCCAGAGAAGCCAAGAGGGTGCCTGGGGGGGGGGGGTGTGAGGAAGGTGACCAGCAGATGGCAGCCCTCTCCCACTGCTGGACAGGGATTCCTGGGTTGACCCGTTGGGCAGCCTTCTGCAGCTCTGTTTAAGAGGGCGCCTTGCATGGGGACGGATCCAGGACGGAAAAACATGGCTTAACAAAGTGTCTTGGTGTCTTCTCTCCCCATGAATAAATTTAGCAAGATTCCTTTGTGAGACAATTCCGAGGTTGGAGAGGAGTTTGGGATTTGGCCTGAGGGGGGTAGAAATGTTTTTTTCTTTAGCCCAGGAAATCTTCACGTTTTGGATTGTGTGAACATCCATCAAGAACGCTGCTGATACATTTTCCCAAATATTTTACTCTGACATTGGGGCAGACAGGAATAGCAAGCTAGAAAAATAAAGTCACAAGCAGTAAAAAAAAAAAAAATTAAAAAGGCATTTTTTAAAAAAATATTTTTTAAAAATATTAGCTTAGCCCCACTGAACCCAAACGATTCTGGCTCAGTGATTCTCTTTCCATTCTGCCTGGAAGACAAAGGAGAGGAATCATCTGCTCTAAGGGGGGATCCCGCTGAAAGCCCTGCAAGCAGATCCTGCACAATGGAAGCCTTCTTGGGGTGCAGCCTCCCCCCTTCACAGCTGGCCCTTGGAAGCCAGTGGCTCAGCTCCCTGAAAGTGGCCCTTTGCTTCTCAGCCTCGCAAGGATGGCCTCCGTCCCAGCACCAACCCGAAGGAAGCCCTTTCTTCCTGTGGAGCTGGAAGTGGGGCAGAATGGGAGTGGGCAGAGCCAAAGGGAGGCTGGAGGGGAGCAGAGCCTTTACTGGCCCTTCTTTTGTGGCCCTTAATCCCCTCGGCCAGAAGGCACTCATACTGCTTCCAGGGCAGACCTCCCTGCTGCTGCTAGAACTGGGTGGGTGTAAAGGAAGCAGCTGATGCCCAGCAACAGCTATTTACAGGTTGCCCTCTGTCTCCAGTGCTGTATGGAAATCAACTCTGTGCAAGCCCTGCCTTAATCTAGAGCTGGTGGTATGACGTTGGGGTCCATGGGCTCCTCCTGCCCACTGGGGAAGAGCCAGCAGAACTGAAGCTATTTTCTGCCTCAGCAGCCTTCTAATTGCTCTCTCCTTTCTCTAAGGCTGCCCTGCGGTTTGCAGATAAGGCTCTTTCTGAACATCGTGTTCAAGAACGAGAGACACGTCATTGCCTAATTATATAACTGCTGAGGGCCTTGTTTATCTGCTGCTTCCTTCCCCGGGCAGTCTCTGCCTGCTTCCCACGTTGCCATCTGGAGCTCACCTGGCACCTCTGCAAGACAAGCAGCACCTCAAGAGTGGCTGGGATGGGGTTTGGCACCAAAGCAGGATTTGGCAAGTGTATGTGGCGAGTTGTAATGACAGGGGCTATAACCTTGCAAAGCTTTGTCTGCAAGCAGCTCTTTGAAACTCTCCTTAAATAAGCAACAAAGCTCCCAGATGTTGCAATGTTGTGACTGTAATTAATCACTCAACCTTGTTTGTGCCGATTAGAAGCAGTATTTGCATACACCTTTTCACAGAGTTTATTGAGAGAAATCCTTGCAGAATCCCGAACGGAGCACAAGATCGCTTTGCCAAGCCTGGGGTGGGAGGGGGGAGATCAAGTGATCTCTTTGCTGCTGTGGGAGTTCACCCAACTCTGATGCATCTTTTCAGCCATAAAGGGACACAAAACAATGAGAAAAACAACAGTGTGGCCAGATTTTTGTGGTGTTGATCTTGGGCTTTGCCTCAGCCTGTGTTGGGGGGGGGGGAAGCTGGGAGGGAGGGCTGGCTCTGTGCCAGGATCAGCCACAGTTTCTTTGTAGTTAATAACACCTAGAAAGCGGAAATCAGAAAGAACAAACTGATCCTGAGCAGCAGTCTCTGCTTCTGCTTTCCAGGTCAGCAAAACGTGAGCCAGCCTCCCCTTGGAGCAGCTCCTTCCTTGGGGGGGGGGGGGCTCACCAGCATGGCTGAGGAAAGGAACACGACAGCACCCTGGTGCCTCTGGGCAACATGGGGCTCTCCAGCCCTGCCTGAGAATTGCAATAGTTAGCATCGGCAGAGTGGGGGGGGGAGGCACAGGGATCCTTCCATGCCAGCAGGGCTGCTTCCCATCAGCAGCAGAGGAGCTCGTGGTCCCTTTGGCGTCTCCTAAGGGGCAATTTTGCTCGCCAAATATCGTCTGGCTGCAGTCCTGTCCTAAAGATGGGCACCGAGAGTGAGGGCATAAGATGGCCAGTTGCATGGTTGCCTTCTGCCCTCCTCATGAGTGCATCGCAAAGCAAGGGGGGGGGAGCTGAATGAAAGAGGCTCTGGCCCTGGGGAGTTTGCTGGCTGCAGCCATCCCCAACCAGCCCCACAAGTAGTCTGGGGTCCACAGTCTCACGCAGGGCTTCCTAAGCAGTGAGCAGGAGGGCAAAGAAGCTCTGAGTTCCCTTCGTTGCCATCCATCTCCCCTTCCCCAAAGTTCCTTGTCCTGTTTTCATTGGTCTCCAATCTGGAGAGTGGATTTGTAGGGCAGGAGGAGTGATGCAGCCTCTGACTGAGGGGCTGGACCTTCCCAAGAGATCCCCCTCCCCTCCCCCATTGCTGCTGCTGCTGCCACCAGGGGGGAGCCGAGCCTGTTGCCCGGCAGGGGCTGTGGGAGCCGCAGAGGAGAAGCTGCGGTTTCTTTCTTTTGAGGCAAACAAGGCAGCCGCCTCAGCTCTCATCATATGAGTATAATTCAGACACGGGGGGGGGGGGCAGGGGAGCCTTACGTCAAAGGGCTCTGTGCAGGTTTCCTTCCTCTTTCTGCACTACGGCTGGTATAAAAGGGCCAGAGCTATAATTACCCTCCGTGGGCTTCTTCCCATCTGCTCACAGACGCAGCCCAGGGAGCCTCTTCCCCCTGAATTCATGGGGGAAGGGGCTGGGAACACAAAGCCCTGAATTCTGCCTGCAGGAGGATCCTGGGGGAGCCGGGGGGGGGGGGTGGTGAAAGTGGAAGTCTGGGTGCAGCGATGCAGCTCTTGCCTCCTGGGGAGCCCGGCTGGGCCGACCTCACTTCAGACAGCTGGCACGGGCCTGGCAAGCTGAGACCCTGTGGGGCCTCAGCCTGAGGAGGAGCAGCAGCCCTTCTGCCATGCTGCCCTCACCCACTGGCACAGAGAAAAAGTCTGCCTTGGCCAGGCCACCATCCACAGTTCTCCTGGCCATGGTCCCTTGTGTACTTTCTCTCTCGGCTCTGCTGCCAAGAATGCCAAGGGCCAGGGCAGCCTACAGCCTCTGGGTATGGCCAGCTGGGACTGTGGCTCTGCTGATCCGGCTTGGACAGCGTGGTTCACGTGCCCCTTTGCTTAGACCTCCTGCCCGTCGCTTTCTGCTACTGCCAGGAGTAAAGTAGCTTTTGTCTTTTTTCCTTGCTCCCCTCGGCTCCCCTCCTGCTCGGCTCAGGAACCTTCTGGATGCTGAAGGGCTGGGCTGGGAGGGAAGGATCCCAAGGCTTTTCCAGAGAAGCTGGCCTTCTGACCCTAAGGGTATCCAGGGGCAGCTTGCGCCACTCTTTGGCGGCTTCTGTGGCACTCTGAAGAGGAGGCCCAATGGCACTGGGCACAAAGAGTGGCTGCCGAGTTTCCCAAATGCTTCTCCTCTGCTCTGGCCCTGGATGCTCTGAGGACATGGCTGGCTCCCAAGCCCCACAGTGAATGTCCACAGCTGGTGACCTTATTTATAGGGCCACCCCCGAAGCAGCCAAGAATCCCACAGAGGGCAGGGTAGAAACCAAACAACCCCACATTTAGGAAGGTTCTTAGACAGTCAGCCACCCCCCCCCCGACTCCTGCCAGGTCCTCAAAGCTGCCCATTGATCCCTCACTGGAGCACAGCACATCAATGCGGGCAGAGGGGCCAAGCATACCTGGGCAAGTGTGCTCGTGAGGGCCATGTGTTGCCAGCCTCACGTGCGGCTTACCCAGACAGCAAGCAGCTTTTTGTATTCAAGGATGGAAGGAAGGCAGCTCCATGAACAGAGGAGGCTTTCTTCCCAAGCAAGCCAGAGCTGCAGCCCCCCCCCCCGACAGACCCCCTTCCTCCATCAAGGGAAGGAGAGCTTTCCCAGACCCTTCAGCACAGGGAAGGAAACTAGCTGAAAAGAGGGCAGAACCGTCCCAAGGGAGAAATGGGAAAAGGTTGTCAGAAGCAGGAAATCAGCCATGGGCTGAAGTGAGGTCGTAATGCAAGGAAGGAACCAAGGAAGGCTGGAGGAGGCGTCCGAGGCTTTGGGGGAACCGAATGAACCCTCTGGGTCACTTTCTGCAGAAATTGGCAGGACTGGGTGGGAGGCTGGCAAAAGAATTGTATCACACTGAGCTAATTGCCCAATTAAAAATGAACATATCCCTGGAAGAAATACACTGAGGTTGTGGGCTTGGTATCCCCTTTGTTTTGTTTATGGTTCCATGTGTTGTGTGAAACTGGAAATGGGGGTAACTAAGGACAACAAGGCTTAGTCAGCTAGGCCAGCATAACTCAAAACTTCTTTAAACCTTCAGAGATAGTTGACCTCTAATAAAAATAGACAGATTGAGAATACAAACATTTTGCTGGAAAGAGATGGTGTGACCTGCTTTTAAGAGAAAAAGAGTCAGACTGAACTGGAAAATCTGTTATAGAAAGACAGCATTAAAGCCCCGAACGAGCGGTGGCCTCCCTGGCTGCTCTGTTGAGAAGGGCCATCTCTCGGCATCGGCTTCACAGACAGGAGGAGGGCCCTGCCCTTTCTGACAGCCTCCAGGAAAAAGTGGGGGCATTCCCCTGGGGGGAGCAGATGTGGGAAAAGGCCAGGAGTCTCCTTCTCTGCCTAGCAGGAGCAAGAGCGGAATTGGATGGAACTCCTCTGCTTTCCTCTCATCACTGTTGGGAGGAGACTCCTCAATCCAGGCCAGCAAGCTGGTTGCACCTCTTCCAAGGGGCAACTAGTGGCTAGTGGCAGCAGTGCGTTGGGTGGTGAGGACCACCAGATGCAGT